CTCTATTACAAGTTGAGAAACTGATAGCGAACAGCATGGATTCTGATCAGACTGCGCCGATGTGCAGGCTGGTCTGGATCCATGCTGGTCGCAAAGGCACTATGTTGGTTTTGTCGTGACGCGGCTCATTTTGATGATCAAATGAACAAAATGATTTAAATTTACCTGATATTATACTATGATTAAACTTTGGCAGCTTTACTCAATCAAAAAATTGTGAAATGCCTTAATGATTTGATATAAATGCTTCCATTATTTTCATTTTCAGCTCATCTGAGGACAAAGTGTTCAAAGGTGATTTCTTGTGTGAAATCATGCGAGCGTATGAGGCCATTATGGGCTTTGTTGTATTTTTGTATGTTAATCTATGATAATTGTACCAATATTTCTTCCGAATATTAAGGTACTAAATTTCATTATTTAAATATTTATTTCAAAAGTTGGTCTAATTTTTTATGAATATAAATAAAATAATTGCTGGACATGTATCAACATGCCAAAACATGCATATCAAATAATAAGGATATTAAAAATGTGTGTTGCAATATTTTTCAGATATATAATATACATGTATTTTTCAGATTATATAAATTATCAAGACCTTACATGGTTAATTATTGATAACAGTTTATAACTTTCCCTAGATTTAAATGACAACTTTGACTAATTTTTTTCCTTTTAAACTTTGATTTTAAAGTGTATGCATTCATGCTGGAAAATGTGATATTTTACTTAAAAGTTGGGTGCTAGAAATGATGTCAGTTATTCTGAAACTTGAATAGAAATTTTTAAATGCAAGGTTTATTGAGAGGGGAGCGTTGGCCTATTGGAGATGTGATTGCCTCTCAACCCAGGGTCATGGGTTCAAGACTTACTCAGGTCACGACCATATTTCTTCTAAAGACACCATTACTGATTAGTTTGTGGAAACGAACTCAAAAATAATTATTACAAATTCAAGAACTTCATTCGCTATCAAGCTTATATTATATATGTTTAAACTAATCAAGTACATACTTAGCATGTTACAGTTTAATCATTTACCACAAGCTGTATATATTTGTGTCTTTGCAAACAGCGAATGAAAATTTCTTATTGTTTTCGAACCGATATATAAATATATGTACATCAAAAACCAGAACAATTTTAGTTGCACATTAACAACAATTTGTTGTTTTTGTCAAGATGAACCATTTTATTTTAGATTTAGAGCTCGATATCTTAATTGTATATATAACATATCTGGAACTTTAAATAAAAAAAAATGTAGAAGTATCTATGTTTAGACATGTATTCTCTCCCAAATGGTATCTATTCATTAATTTTTATGATTTTACGTTTTTGCAATAGTGAGGTCTAAAATGAAGATTTTTACTAAATTATACATTCCATAACATGCTTTTTTTACAGTCATGTTAGAATATATTTATTTTGTTGTTAGTTCTATTCCTTGTTATTGTAGTTCTTTGTCAATAAAAAAAAGAAGAAAATTTTACTTTTTTTGCTTTGTGTGTCAGCAATGTATTCCAGAACCCAGGAGAGGTATATTTTTTGTGGTGTAGCCAAAGATAAAACTTTATGGAAACTGGTTATTTGAAAGACTTAAACTTATGAACTTAGTACTTTGAAATTACCCTTTTTATTTTTGATGCATACAAAATTTCAAGAATATGTAGTCATACCTAAATTCAAGAATATGTAGTCATACCTAAATTCAAGAATATGTAGTCATACCTAAATTCAAGAATATGTAGTCATACCTAAATTCAAGAATATGTAGTCATTCTACCTAAATTCAAGAATATGTAGTCATACCTAAATTCAAGAATATGTAGTCATACCTAAATTTCAAGAATATGTAGTCATACCTATATTTAAGAATATGTAGTCATACCTATATTTAAGAATATGTAGTCATACCTATATTTAAGAATATGTAGTCATACCTATATTTAAGAATATGTAGTCATACCTATATTCAAGAATATGTAGTCATACCTATATTTCAAGAATATGTAGTCATACCTATATTTAAGAATATGTAGTCATACCTATATTTAAGAATATGTAGTCATACCTATATTTAAGAATATGTAGTCATACCTATATTCAAGAATATGTAGTCATACCTATATTTCAAGAATATGTAGTCATACCTATATTCAAGAATATGTAGTCATACCTATATTTAAGAATATGTAGTCATACCTAAATTCAAGAATATGTAGTCATACCTAAATTTCAAGAATATGTAGTCATACCTATATTCAAGAATATGTAGTCATACCTAAATTTCAAGAATATGTAGTCATACCTATATTCAAGAATATGTAGTCATACCTATATTTAAGAATATGTAGTCATACCTATATTCAAGAATATGTAGTCATACCTAAATTCAAGAATATGTAGTCATACCTATATTCAAGAATATGTAGTCATACCTATATTCAAGAATATGTAGTCATACCTATATTTTAGAATATGTAGTCATACCTAAATTTTAGAATATGTAGTCATACCTATATTCAAGAATATGTAGTCATACCTAAATTCAAGAATATGTAGTCATACCTAAATTCAAGAATATGTAGTCATACCTATATTCAAGAATATGTAGTCATACCTAAATTCAAGAATATGTAGTCATACCTATATTCAAGTTTATGTAGTCATACCTATATCCAAGAATATGTAGTCATACCTATATTCAAGAATATGTAGTCATACCTAAATTCAAGAATATGTAGTCATACCTATATTCAAGAATATGTAGTCATACCTATATTCAAGAATATGTAGTCATTCTACCTAAATTCAAGAATATGTAGTCATTCTACCTAAATTCAAGAATATGTAGTCATACCTAAATTCAAGAATATGTAGTCATACCTAAATTCAAGAATATGTAGTCATACCTAAATTCAAGAATATGTAGTCATACCTATATTCAAGAATATGTAGTCATACCTATATTTAAGAATATGTAGTCATACCTATATTTAAGAATATGTAGTCATACCTATATTTAAGAATATGTAGTCATACCTAAATTCAAGAATATGTAGTCATACCTATATTTAAGAATATGTAGTCATACCTATATTTAAGAATATGTAGTCATACCTATATTTAAGAATATGTAGTCATACCTAAATTCAAGAATATGTAGTCATACCTAAATTCAAGAATATGTAGTCATACCTATATTCAAGAATATGTAGTCATTCTACCTAAATTCAAGAATATGTAGTCATACCTATATTTAAGAATATGTAGTCATTCTACCTAAATTCAAGAATATGTAGTCATACCTAAATTCAAGAATATGTAGTCATACCTAAACTCAAGAATATGTAATGTCATACCTAAACTCAAGAACATGTAGTCATACCTAAACTCAAGAACATGTAGTCATACTTAAACTCAAGAACATGTAGTCATACCTAAACTCAAGAACATGTAGTCATACCTAAACTCAAGAACATGTAGTCATACCTAAACTCAAGAACATGTAGTCATACCTAAACTCAAGAACATGTAGTCATACCTAAACTCAAGAACATGTAGTCATACCTAAACTCAAGAACATGTAATGTCATACCTAAACTCAAGATTATGTAATGTCATACCTAAACTCAAGAACATGTAGTCATACCTAAACTCAAGATTATGTAATGTCATACCTATATTCAAGTTTATGTAGTCATACCTATATTTAAGAATATGTAGTCATACCTATATTTAAGAATATGTAGTCATACCTATATTTAAGAATATGTAGTCATACCTAAATTTCAAGAATATGTAGTCATACCTATATTTAAGAATATGTAGTCATTCTACCTAAATTCAAGAATATGTAGTAATACCTATATTCAAGAATATGTAGTCATACCTATATTTAAGAATATGTAGTCATACCTATATTTAAGAATATGTAGTCATACCTATATTTAAGAATATGTAGTCATACCTATATTCAAGAATATGTAGTCATACCTAAATTCAAGAATATGTAGTAATACCTATATTCAAGAATATGTAGTCATACCTAAATTCAAGAATATGTAGTCATACCTATATTCAAGAATATGTAGTCATACCTATATTCAAGAACATGTAGTCATACTTAAACTCAAGAACATGTAGTCGTCATACCTAAATTCAAGAATATGTAGTCATACCTAAATTCAAGAATATGTAGTCATACCTAAATTTCAAGAATATGTAGTCATACCTAAATTCAAGAATATGTAGTAATACCTATATTCAAGAATATGTAGTCATACCTAAATTCAAGAATATGTAGTCATACCTATATTCAAGAATATGTAGTCATACCTAAATTTCAAGAATATGTAGTCATACCTAAATTTAAGAATATGTAGTCATACCTAAATTCAAGAATATGTAGTCATACCTATATTTAAGAATATGTAGTCATACCTAAATTTAAGAATATGTAGTCATTCTACCTAAATTCAAGAATATGTAGTCATACCTAAATTTCAAGAATATGTAGTCATACCTATATTCAAGAATATGTAGTCATACCTAAATTCAAGAATATGTAGTCATACCTAAATTCAAGAATATGTAGTCATACCTAAATTTCAAGAATATGTAGTCATACCTATATTTCAAGAATATGTAGTCATACCTAAATTTCAAGAATATGTAGTCATACCTATATTCAAGAATATGTAGTCATACCTAAATTCAAGAATATGTAGTCATACCTAAATTTCAAGAATATGTAGTCATACCTAAATTTCAAGAATATGTAGTCATACCTAAATTTCAAGAACATGTAGTCATACCTAAATTTCAAGAATATGTAGTCATACCTAAATTCAAGAATATGTAGTCATACCTAAATTTCAAGAATATGTAGTAATACCTATATTCAAGAATATGCAATGGGGTTTTAATATAACACTTGGACGTCAACAAAAATTTCAAATTCAATAAATAATACATAATAACCAACTCAAACACACTTCTTACAATTTATTTCTATCATTCATAGAAGATGTCAGATCATGTCAGTGCAGTAATGAATTAACTCCTATTAAAGCAATTGTTAATCTGTTACTGCACTTACATGACCAGATATTTACACAAAAGTAATTCAAATCATATGGTACAATAATTATGTGCTACCAAAATTCATAATACATCAAAAACCTCAGTTAAAAAACGCCTAAATTTTCTAAACTCAATATTTTCTTTGAAAACAGATGAGGATTGCACGATCTATAACTAAGTAATTTAGTTCTGCTAATGTACTACTCGGCTTCACTGGTGTATAAACCAGTGGCCCTTCTGTGTATTGTTTCAGGCTCAAGTAGACACCTTTCTAAAATAACAACAACTCTGTAAACTAGCTACTAGCAACTTCCTCACACTAAAATGTTTGCTATTTCTATGGAACAAACTAAAAGTCATATCGTTGGAATGCTTCAAATTCAGAAATCTTAAAAATATGGCATTCCCTATGGGATATTTCCCAGCACTCCATCTTCCATGGCAAAGTCCAAAACAGTAATAGGTGAAACAGCATGTATATTATATGACAGTGACAGTCGCACAAAAAAATTGGCTTTCTATATCATTTTTCTTCTGTATTGGGCCATAATTGTTGATGGCAGCTTAACCTATCTTTAGTTCATTTTTGTCACACAAGAGGATGATGTCTACTATGATGTCATCATTTGAGAAAATACCAAATAACAGCCTGCATACATGCTTGTCAGGGTCCATACTTATCTATACTATTGATTTCTATGGCAATTACAACTAAATGTAAGTCCTGTGGAAAGTTTTTTTTCCTTAGACAAAAGTAAAAATGACTTGCGATTACGAATGGGTTGTTTGTTTGATTGGGTTTTATGTCACACTGACACAGTATAGGTCATGGCAACATTTCAGCTTAACTGGTGGAGGAAGACCTCAGGTGCCCTTCCATGCATTATTTCAGGCATGAATGGGCACCTTAGTAGAACCTACAACATTCTATAAGCAAGCTTGATAGCTTCCTCACATGACAGAATCCAAAGTCCCTGTCGGGATTTGAACCCACAGCGGTGAGGGGCAAGTGGCTTGAAGTCACAAACTTAACTATTCAGCCATGGACACCAAGAATGGGTTGTTAATTTTTCAATGAATTATTCTCTTTAAAGTAAATGTCCAAGGTAAATAACATGGTAAAACAAAAAGAAAATATAAACATGAAAACCAATTTTATGCAATATTAAAACTATTGTTTGAATTCCTCAATGCAATGACTTCACATTATGATTTTTTCCAGATTAAAGTCAAAACAAGTTTACAGAGCATTCATTAAATGCATGACAAAATTATATACAAATATATCTACATAAAACAACAATAGAAATGGTACCAATTACACGATATAATTTAATTCAACAGTTTTCACATAATGATATTTTCAGGCATTTCATGCGAAACTAAGAATTCAAATTTTCTTCTTTATCAGCAAATTAAAAAATAATTCTGCAACAAATAAGATCAGCCCATCTTGCTGATTTTGTATATTATTTATGTCCTACTTTAAATTTGGATAAGTCTTTCGTTTCTTTATGTTTTCTTTTAAGTATAATTTTCTCATTTTTGGGTAAAATACTTCATTTGCAGAAATGTATTGATATCTAGGAAATTCTAACTGAATATGTCTAATTTGAATAAAACAATGCAGAAACTATATTTGGAAAGCTTCACTCCCTATCACTGGTTAAGTTAATGCAGTACTTTCTAAAAATAACTGCCCGTTTTTTTTTCATGACACTATTCAAAACTGTTTACCATAGTATGTAGGGTTTACTTAAACATATATTCTCTGTGCGTACTCAAAATATGTTCATTTTATGTTTAACAGGAGACTGTGTAGCAATTATCAGCATTTTTTTGAATATCAAATTTGAGCAAAATATATCTTTAAGGGATTTGAATATCAAAATTCTAGAACTCAGCTGCCAAAAGTAGAGAGTCTGAAATGACAGTACAAATATAGTCCAGTCATTCTTGCTGTTAACTTACAAGAAGTCAAATGTCAATTAATAATAAACATCCTTCCAAATATATTACCATCTTACAAAATAATAATCCTTCTTTCACTTCTATTTTGTTTTTGTATCATATCAAATTCAACCATGAAATAATGGAAAACATACTTCAAAAATGAAGTTAACAATCAACAATTGAACACTAGATTGCAAACCTTGTTATTGACATTTAAAAAAATGGTTACAAAATACAAACAATCAGACTATTACAATGAACCCATATCAATCTGAAACATTTAGTAATGAATTTTTGAAAAATTTAGTAATGACGATTTGAAGACACAAGTTGAATGAATATACAAGTAATGATTGTGTCAATTGAAATTCAAACTCTTGTTTAGTATGATCACATAGGTCCAAAGAATTTTACAGATCTGTCCATACTAGCGGAGGCTATAAACTGACTGTTATGTCCGAATTTCACTCCCGTTGCCATGGCTGTATGGTCATTGAACACGGCTAGCTCCTGCCACTGTTTACACAGGTATACTCTGTAAACATACACAAATATATTTAATTCAATTTCAATGTAACATAAAGAATATATCAGTCATAGTTAAAGCATTTTTTTGTTGAGATTTCAGTAACATCTACATGTATATGGCAAATTTTCTGCTAAAGAAAGAAAGAAGACATATAAGCTTTAAAGTAAAAGGCAGTCGCTGATATGGTTGTAAGAAAATTTTCAAGCTTTACTAATGGGGAAAAAAAAAAACAACCAACAAATTAATCTGAGCTAGCTTGACATTATCCTCACATGAAAGAATCCAAAGTCTCTGGGGCAGATTCTAACCTAAGCCATGAGGAGTAAGTGGTTTGAAGTCTGTCACATTAACTACTTGGCCACTAAAGCCCCCAACAATATGTAATAGCTTACCTCACATCACTTCCAGCCACAGCCAAATATGTACCACTTTGATCAAACGACAGAGACCGTACCTAGAAAACAAACAACAAATGTTGTATACATCTCTCAAAAAAGTTGTTCATTAACAAATGTAGGTGTAATGTTCAATATCTATCAGAGCTAAAAAATATCAAATTACAAAATTTTGACAAAATGCACCATGGCAACTTGGTGTTAATTGGTCTGTGAAAATTTTAGAGTGTGTCTATAAGCTTATTGCTTCCTACATAATCATATTCAAATAAATTGTGTGTGAACTATACTCTCAATCTAAAATAAACCTTGGAAAACCTGATAAAAATCATTTTTAGACATTAAAATCATTATTAACACTCAAGTACTGCAAGATACCTGATGTGTGTAAAACAAGGATTGTCAGTAGGACATCGTGCTTGACTGTTCTTAATGCTTTAATGTAAAACTAGAGATAATGTATAATTTTCTAAGTTCAAAAAGGGCCATAACTCTATCAAAATCCATGCAAGAGTTTTGGGCCAAAGACAGTGACCTTTTTTGCTCTCAAATAATGTGTGAAGTTTCAACCCTCTTCAGTAGTTTTGGCGATGTAAACACCTTGGTGAGTACAAAAGCTCTTCATATTCTGTACATAATTATCTGAGCTAAAAATGAAAGAGAAGTCTCACAAACCTCGTATTTATCCTCCAGCTGTATGGTTTTGAAGTTCTTGAGTTTACGTAAATCCCATAGTTTAACAACAGAGTCCTCTGCAGATGTAGCCAAGAAATAACCTGTTTCACAGAGAAATTTATATATCATCACAAGACAACATTTATGAGCCATGCGAAATATCAAACTGTACTGTTTCAAAGGATGTGAAACTGTGGCAAAATATGCTGTAAAAAACCTATTCAACCTTAATGTTTTTTAGGTTTTGTTATATTTTAATATCACAATAAAATAATGGATCTAATGATTCACTGGTTCAACAGATTGCATGGAAGTATGCACCGAAAGCTTTTAAGGTTTGAAAAAAAAAAGAGGACATCTTCACAGCTTCCACTCCTAGAGCTAAGCATCATCTTATAAATCAACATTTTACCACTAAAAATAACCCTACCATTTTCTGAGAAAGCAATACTGGTAATGGGTCCTTGATGTCCTGGGAAATTAGCCACATTAATTCTTTCCTTCAAATCCCACACCTTAATCATGGAGTCTTCAGTACCAGTGCCAAAAATAAGACCGTCAGGATGGAACTGGGCACATGTCAAAGCTGAAATACATACATAATGTGATTAAAGACAAAATATCAGACATACTTCCAACGATTTTGTCAATTTCCACACACTCTTATTTTCGTATCATATGTAATCAGACCTCCAAACAATCAAGTTAATCTGAAAAATTCAAAGAGATATCAAAGAGGGGAAAATGCTTACATTGCAAGGTAATTTTTGCTTTTTCCTGTTGGCTTTCAAGTCACACTGAGAATATTAAGGTCATTTGGTGACCTTCAAGCTTTATCGGTAGGAGAAGACCTTAATTGGACTTTTTAAACTGAGGAGATAGCAGTATAGTTAGACTGTGCATATTGATGTACAGGTTGGCATATTCTTTAGTAAAGTTGTTAATGTAAGAAATAAGTGTAGTGATGATAATGACTTAATTTTGAAATTGAAATATTTTATTCACATATTACTATTGTAATGATGTTTCATGAAAATAAATCTTGCCTGTTTTCTGAATGAATAACACAAAGATTATTAACGAAAGTTTATTAAGTAAGTTAAAGTAGGCAAAAGAAGTGTGATTTCAAAATGTAACAAGACAATATGAGGTTTAAGCAGATTGTTTTATGTTGAAATAACTTACCGTTCTGTGATGATGCGTCGGAAACCTTACATAAAACCTGTCCAGTTCTGATATCAGAAAACGCCCAGTGCTGTAATATAAACAGAAATGTTTTTTTAATTTTTTTGCTTAATTGAGATTATAAACTTGAGACTTTTTTAAATCACCATCAAGCCCATTTCTTTAAACTAACCAGTATTAATAGCATGCGAGGAAATATGGTTGTGACCCTTGTAGGGCTGGAACCCATGATCACAGGGTTTAAAAGTTAGATATCCACAGTGCTTTACATATAACAAGTGACCACTTGGAAGAAAAACTTGGTTGCCAAATTGTCAAATAAGAACAAACATATGCTAAGAATATTTAATTTTTATGCAACTTTAGTCAATTATTTGAGGCATTAAATGTTAAATCTTGTTTTATCAGTGTAAACTCAGATTAAGAGTTCATCAATTTTTCAATGTCTCTTGCTTTTTTATGATCAAGCTTAGTTCAGTCCAACCTCTACACAGCAATTATTTCTATTTTTAAAAATTAATATCAATTCTTCCAGTGTTAAAACCTTTCATCAATAACCAAAATATTTGTTTGTCAAAGGATATCTCACAAAGGGCGTTGTACTGTAAAAGGATTCACAGGCAGCAAGTATGTTCAGCTACTCATTGTCCGCTGTACAGTGACCTTCTTTCCACACTTTGAGAACACTACAAATTCAGAATAACTACATGTATGACTCACCATGTCAACACTAGAGCTGAGAAGATAATCTCCAGTAGCGTGTAGACTGACACCGGTAACTGGTGACTCGTGGGCTCGGATAATCTGTGCACACTGGGCAGTTTGTACACCCCATACTCGAATAGTAGAATCTGGAGATGCTGTGAATACAAGTTCCTGAAATAAAAGCATTAATATTACCGAAACCTCAAGACAAAGATTCATTATTGACCAATTATTATATTCCCTTCACAAAACTTGTAGTACAATTCCTTAAAATGTGAAGTTAGTGAATACATTTATATTCTTAGAACAATAAATTACAGTTTGTAAAAAAAAATATACCATTTGTTGATAAATTCCAATAATTGTATACAGGAAAAAAGATTTCAAGTGGAAAAAAGACTGAACTATCTAACAACTGAAAGACAATCTTGAAAATAAAAAAAATAATACAATATAAAAGCTCTAGTGATATTGAAAATTTAAACTTTAATGTAACAACAGTGAACAGACCTCCTCTGGATGATAGATGACACTGGTGACCTTCTTTGTGTGACCTTTCAGTATAGCCATCACTTGCTGTGTGTCCTTGTTAAATACCACTGCATTCTTGTCATTACCACCTATAATATCAACCAGTTTATCAATTAACAACATATTTATTCATGTTCATCAATAAAAAAAGTTCTTGCAAACTTTCACTATTTACTTTTGAGGCAACTTGCTGGGACTATCAATTTTTCTGCAAATGACCGACTACTTAATAATTGTCATGGTGAAATTTCACATTGCCTAGGGATTGAATCAGTGACCCCTGATGCTCTTTTTACTGAGATAAGTTGGTGGACAAACCAACAAGTGGGTTTCTTTAGCAATCTTTACGAAAAAAATTTGACTTTTTTTTTGTAATGTAACATTTTTGGTAGATTTTCTAGACATGCAGAACTTTTCTCAACTGTTCTCATTCACTATTCACGCACATAGCACCAAGTCAATGTGACAAAAGTTACCCACCTGTAACAATCTTAGATGTGTCCTTCAAGCAAATATCCAATGACAGAATACCAGGTACACTGGCACTGTGTAATCCCTGAAATTAGTGAATATATTATATATGGAATGTCTAGAAGAAATTAATTATATACAATATATTTATGAAGGGAAAACATTTACATACACGTATATACTTTAAGAAATGTGATTACAGAAAACTAAACAAAGTTACATCTAAGATTTTACAGAACAGTAAATGCCATGGAATACATAATTGTAATGTAAACAAAGTCACATGTCTGCCTGCTTAACTCAACAGAGAGAACATCACTTAAGTAATCCAGAGGTTGCTGGTTTGATCCTCTGGCAAGGCATAACTTCTCCCTGACAATAAATCTCTCACATTCAGAAAAATGGTCATTTGTCTCTCACTGCTCAGTAATCATTAGGGATTAGTAGTCAGTCGCTGCTGAAAATTTGTAAATATGTGATTTAAAGTTATCCAGCTGGTTAGAAGGAACAACTGCGGAGTTATGACCAAAACACATGAGTTAAAATTGGCATTAAAAAAAACACTAGAAAAAGCAAACAAACAAATAGTGATACTTACAGTATGTGAGGCAAGTTGTCTGTAAGCTCTTATATCATCACTGTTAGCCAGACCTTCAGGAACTGTTTTACCTCTCTGTAATTAATCATACATATCACTAAATAATGACATCTTTGATATGATAATGCACATTGTCCACTATATTTCATCGATTTTAATGAGATAAATATTTTAATGAGAAAAATAATTTTAGTTTTAACCTATTTAACTTAGTTCAATTGTGAAGAATTATTGTTGCTTAAACAACTCTATAGTTTGCTGCCTGGAAGAAACCAGTATTGATGTTACATCAGGAAACAGCGTCCTGATCCAATAGTCTCGAACCTACAGACCTGGGTTCAGTGACAGAAACCATATCAAGTGTGTCACAGCACCTCAAATAGTTTACTTTTTTTATATCATATACAAAATATTATTTCTCTTAATCACTTCTTTTTATGTTGTAGGAGGCAGGTTGTTTAGACAAACTGACACATGTTTTTTTTTTTAAAATATAACACCAAAGTTTTAAATAAAATCTAAGCATGGAAGAGAAATCTGCCTATTTTGTTGTTATTTGTTTGTTTTGGGTTTTATGTCACATCGACACAGTATAGGTCATATCGCGACGTTCTAGCTTTACTGGTGGAGGAAGACCTCAGGTGCCCTTCCGTGCATTATTTCAGGCACGAACGGGCACCCGAGTAATGATAGCTTCCTCACATGAAAGAATTCAAAGTCCCTGTCGGGATTCGAACCCACAGAGGTGAGGGGCAAGTGGTTTGAAGTCAACGACCTTAACCACTCGGCAACGTATTTTGTTGTTAAATAAAAATATAAAATTTTACTTTTTCTATCTTCTTTACATATAATAAAGTATTCAACACTATAGTTGATAGTATTTGTTACAATGAACACTTCTGTGAGAAATAAGCTGAACAAAATGCGTTTAATTATCTTCTGATGAAACAATGAATGTAGCTTGAAGAAATATTTTATCAAACTTTACAGGACTTACTTTCTTTCTCTCGGCTGTAAGTAATGTAGCTTTATCTTGTAGCTTCTGTAGAACCTCATCTGACATTCCGGCTTCCTCCATCGGTTGTTCAGCTGCCTCTGGACCTGCTTCTGCTGCGTATGACTGGTGAAAAATATAAAATATTTGGGTTACAGTATCGAAGAATAACACCCTTGTCTTAAAATAACATTGTTGCAAGGTTGAAAATAATACTACAAGTAATATATATATACGAGTTTGACTCTCAAATTATGCAAACATATCATTGATACACTGAAAAGGTAATGACATGGGTAAATAAAAGCCTGTCTAATACTGGTTTGTTAAAAAATAATTTAAAATACAAAACAAAAGCTTTTTACACAATAAGTATAAGACTCATGTTAATTCTCTTAAATGACCCAGTTACCCTAGGAAACTGAACACAAAATGTATGCAGTAATTGTTAACAATTTATTTTGTTGGGTTATAAGTCACACTAACACTGTCAGTATGGCAACATTTAGCTTTACTGGTCAATGATGACCTCGGCTGTCCCTCTGTGTATTACTTTAGGCACAAATGGTACCCTAAGTAGAACCACCGATGTAACATAATCTAGCTGGATAGCTTTCTTGCATAAAAGTATTCAAAGTCCCTGATGGGATTAGAACCAACAGCTGAATTCAAACTCACAACTAAAATCAAACGAGTTTCATTGAAAATGATAAAAAAATTGTGAGACTTTAGAAAGTAAACATAAGAATGTACAGATGAAATTTTTATTGTATAAACTCACAGGTTGTGGTGCCGCTGGGACAGCGTAACTTCCAGCTGTAATACCAGCTTGGGGTTTGAGTGTAGCCAAAGCTGAAAATAAAACCAAATACATATAAATATGTCAGTCATTTAGTTGTGGTATGTCAAGTCTATTCAATAACATATGCTTAACTAAATAGTTCTTTATAAAATACTCCAACTAAATGAAACTTAACAAGAATATTTTGTCTAATACAAACTATCCTGAGAATTAATGTATTTTCCTATCTATTTGATTTTCAGGGTCAAGACTAAAGAATGATGAAATGTACAAATCTAATATTATAACAGTATGAAACATACCCTCTCTGGCAGCCGTCACTTCCTTGGTCAGACGTGCTATCACACGACAGGCTGCATCGTGCTGGTACAAGGCATGAGACAACTCTGCAAGTAATTAATTACATCATATTGTAACATTATTTTAACTAGTTCAACTAAATCAAAATGGACAAACATTATCCTAATGATATGACAGACTGAAACTGTATTAAATCTTTCAATCTGGACAAATGTGGGATTTTTTTTAAATTAGCACTGACTGAATAGCAAACAGTGTTGACCATGATCAGAGGCATGGACGAGCTGGATGATCTTGGTCCACACCTGTCACATGTATAGATTTAGTTGCAGCAAGTAGGCTAATGGTTAACTATTAAGACAAGTAGGAATTTCCGATCAATACAAAAAGTCAACTGAATAAACTTCATTCAGCATGGCTTACCCACCAAATACATAAAAAGTATTCCTTAATATGTAGTTTTAGGTCTTTACCATTACGGTCAGGTACTACAAACAGTATGAACGTTAACACTGACCTGGCTCTATTGACTGTATAAACCTTAAATGACCTTTTAACCTTAGTTTTATTGTATGAATATTTCAATATAATACAATAGTCTACTAGTATTATCATAAGTTACCCTGTCTTGCAGTCTGCAGTTGCTGTCTGAGGGTGAAACTATGTAACATAACAGCATCCTAAAATACAAAAAAAAACAAGTTTAATAATTGTGTTAAACCAAGCATATAATATGTTTATTTTTTCTAATAAATATAATTAGGTTGGAGGCACGAAAAGAGCAGTAGTTACAAATAAAATCATCATTTCAAGTAAAGTTCTATGGCAAGATGTCATTTTGAAATGACTACAAACTTGATTCAACCCCCATTGAACCTCAACCGTGACTTTATACTGGTAGCAGTTTATTAACATAAAACCACCCAACGTAGCAACAGACAAAGCTTGATTTTCCATCTAAGGACTACCCTCATCTATTTATCTGAAGTGAGATTGACTATGCATACATATTATTCATAAAAAAGGTCAACACATTAATCACAACCTGCTTTACATACCCACTCATCTTGTAATGCCTTCAATATGGCTGGTATACTTGTAAATGACGGAGGCCTAGGTTTCACTAGTGGAGATGCTGTAAAAAAATAAACAACAATTCTGTTTCAGGTATTTTTTTTTCAAAAAGGGATTGTTTTTTCAATAACCACTTAAAAACATTATTTGTCAAAAACATATGCCATTTTTTTATCTTATTTCAAAAGATTTGAATCAATAATTCATCAATTAATAAAGACAATTAGTAACTGTTTGTTTATAAAATAAATAAAGGACACCATGATGATTTATAAGTAACCAACCTTTGACATCAAGAAGCATTTCCAGCTCCAACTTGTCCCCAGTAATTGGATCTGTTCCATTTTCTTTAATGTACTTCTCAACAAGTCTCTTCTCAAATATATGACCTGATACAGGGCTCAATACTGGATGTTCTGGTACCTCGTTACTGACTGTAAAACAGACCGTTACTTGTTTTCAGAATAATTTTAAATATTAAATAACCATAAATGTGTCCAAAAGACCCAGATGCTCACATATTCCACTATTTTATCTATGGACAGAAAATAGCTCATTTATATGCTTCAGGCTTTAAAAAAATTGCAATACGGACCGGCTAGCCAAAATTCTAGCCATATGTTAGTCAAGTACAACTAGCTTTTATGTACTGTTGAGGCTAGCCCTAACACATATATTTAAAATAAATCACCTAAAACAATATTGAATAAGCAAACTTGTGTTTTTAAAAGAAGATTTTCTTAAAAATCATGAAAACTTTATCAATAAAAGTAGGTATATAAATTTTTAGCATTTGATGAACTATATATTTTTTCTTCTGAAAATCATGGACTTTAATCCTTCAAGTCCATGTGAAAATATGAAGAGAAATAAACTGAAACATTATTAAATCATTTCTATGGACAATAATTATGGATGTAATACATTGGTAATATGATTGTTCACCATTTTAAGATGCAGCGCACCTGTTTTCCACGACTGCAAAAGAATGCTATCGGGTCAATCACAGACAATTACAAGGTAACAACAAAAGCAGAGAAATTCTGATTGAAAACAGATGTGCACAGTGGTCTCTTGTGCACTTCTAAGGGAACCATTATAAGACAGAGAACCAGAATAAACGGAAGCAGTGTATAAAATACCGAAGGACAGTTTTAAAACTGAAAATTTAAAATAAAAATAAACCAATATTTTATACTATTTCACTGTAAAAGTAAATCAAGATTGCTTTGAGGCTTTGCCATTTTCCGTATTAAAAAGTGCAAGTTACTGACTTCATCATTCCATTTATTTATTATTGAAAAAATGTTGTACGGCCAACCGCAATAGTGCTTATAAGTAGCAGTACTGGCCCATACAGTTAGACATTTCCATTTATTAAGCGAATATGCACGGTCCACTAACAAAGTTTGCACTATTACCCTATGCTACGACCGGATGTAAACAAACCGTTCGCACAGGGCATGCGCGGTGGTTAAATCCCACCCATTTTATTCGATTAAATTCTAGAACAACCACTACTTTCGGTTTCAATTTTGCTGACAAGGAACAGTTTGAGTCAACGTAAGTGTTAATTTTAATTTCAATGTCCAAAACTTTGCACTACACGACATAATTTTCATTACATATCCGGTATTATCATCGTCATGGTAGTTTTTATTCCAGTCGGTCAAAATGACGGTACACATTTACATGTAAACAAACAGATTTAACTTCTCAGACAATTTAAATAAGGAATGGACACACGGTAAACTCTGTTGCAACGTAAAGTATATTCATAAACCTGTTTGAGAAAAATTGTCTCCGTGTTCAAATAAATTTCAAAAACGGGAAAAAAATCAGTCTTTTACTGATACCCTGCAACAGAACCTTATTATTCTGATGAATTAAATTGACTTTATAACGCTGGTATACAATTATTAATTGATCGATTTTCATTATATTTATTTTGTAATACCTATCATTCAATATGCAATCAAACAAAACCAAGTTTTCCTACATTCAAGGAAACTGTTAGTTAGGACGAGCTTTCAAAACGAACAGGTAGCAATTTCCAACACGCTTCCCGAAACTCCAACATGGCGGCTCATTTGCATAATTTATTCATAAACGCAGGAGCATAGAACTTTGTTAGTGCGGTCTGGCAGATGTCATTTTTTAATATGTGGAAGTCAAAGGCCAGGATAACGAAGCAGGCCCGGGCTTTAGCTTGCACGGCTGAAGACTACATTTATGCGTAAAACACGTCTTAAAAACGGAAAATGAACTTTTTTTTAGCCTACTTCCCCGTTCATTGGCTTTGACTAATTTCATATTATTCCACATAATTCATCAAGCATACACAGATAAAATAACGGAAAATATAGTTGTTTATAAAATCGATCTAATTTTTGAGGAATATTACAAATTTGGAAGCAGGATCTAAAATTTGGCCTTCATCATGATGCACCTACCATTAAGAAATGGAAAAAGCAAAGACATTTTTAAGCAAAATTCGAAATCATTTAATTGAGTGTATCAAACTTCAGTGTACATTAGTCACAACCACTCATTATTTTAACGTTTTGCATGTTTTGAAACCGGTTTCTTGACTTGTTTTTTTATCAATAATTTGCATAATCATAAAAAAATATCAAATATATAACAAACTTAGTTATTTAAGATTGTAAGTTTTAACAAAAAGCATATAAAATGACAATGTTACATTGCAAAATAAACATGAAACTCTGACAATAAATAAAAGAAAAGAATCAACACGCACTCGCACAGCAAAGCGCCATTTTGAAAATGTCACGTGACTGTTAAAATTGTTCACGAATATGAAACATATATATCGTTGTCAACTACGGCATTTTTTTATATTAAGATAATGATTATAATTTCATGATACTTTTTTGCTCGCTTTAAAGTTGCATGCCTCCAAATGAGCCAACATTAAAAAAATCAAACTTGAGAAAAATGTATAATAATCTATGATTTAACCTTGAATATTGCTCCACTGTCTGGAACCCTTACACGCAAGCTCGAGATGGTCCAGAGGAGAGCTGCAAGATATGTGACGAACTGTTACCACAACACCAGCAGCGTATCCTCCATGATTCAACACTTGGGATGGGAGACATTAATTAGAGTCACGACGGACCAAAGCCCAGCTGACCATGATGTTCAAGATCACCAATGACCTTGTGGACATATACCAGTCAGCGATTGCCTCACCCCTGCCCCGAGCCGCACTAGAAGTGACCACTCCAAGAATTTCCATCAACCATCTACATCGTACTACAAGAACTCATTCTTCCCTCGTACAGCCACAGCCTGGAACAGCCTACCTGCCTCCATTGTACGTAGAGGCCCCTGACTTGGTATCTTTCAAGCAGGGGTTTGGGTTGAAGAGGCGAAAACGAAGCTGGCCAGACATTTTGTCTATATCTCTTTCTTTTGACCTATCCAACCTCTTCTAACTTTCTATCATTTCATGTATATTTCTTTTTCTTGACCTAGCACCACCCGTCGCGTTATAATCAAGTGTGATTGCGCCGACGTACGATGTAGATGTAGATGTAGAACCTTTTACCCCATGAGCATAATGTGAAAAATGACCGTTTTCATTGAAAAGCCTCCTGTTACAAGTTCAAACTGCTATGAAACTATGAAAAATGTTTCAATACTGATGAAACTTTGCACAAATGTTGACTAGATCATAGCCTCTGTAACAGCATGCTCAATCGTAAATTTCCTGTTACCATGGCAACGCGGGGAAGTCTCAAAATTGCCAAAAAATCACTATTTTTGCATTTTTTCCCCATCAAAACTGATTTCAAAGTGCTGCAACTTCTCAATGAATTGAGATAGAGTAAAAGGCTTTTCAGCATCGGTTACTAGTTACCCTATGATCGACCTGAGGCCATTTTTAACATGTCACATGTCCAAAATTTTCTTGGCGATGAGGGGGACTACCGCCCCCTTCAAACCCCCAAACATGAGCGGGGGGGGGGATTCGGCGCCGAAAAAGTGGACACTTTTTTAACAACATTTCTCAAACGAAAAACAGTGTTTTGGGTCTAAATACATGTAGGACATTTTTTCACTGTTTGAGGCCTCAAAAAGGGGGGGGGGGGGCGAAAAGCCGTCAAAACACGTCTACATGAGGAATAGAAAAGTAGATCTATTTAAAATATTCAAGATTCAAGTACTACTTTTCATGTCATGCGCGATTATAACTGATTTAGCAGATAATATTACCATATTAATATTGCAATTTTTGCTATTTTTTACTTTTAAATGCATTTTGAAATGTCACGAAAATCATCATGAATATGGCGGCATGGTGATTAATTTAATGTGTCTCAAGTCAAAAATATCTAATTTCTGGTTATTTAAAGATAGATAATGTGTAGTGATCAAGGAGAGACAAACTGCTGACTTTGATTTAGCTCATATACAATATAAAGCATAATTAAGTAGTTAGCCTAAACTTAGAAATTGTGTGATATGTAAGATGTTCCTTTTTATAGTTACCTTTCCGTATATTTTTTAAAATATATTTCTGCTTTGTAACATTGTCAGTAAAAAGGTAAGTAAAAAGGCTAAATTATATTATACGTGTGCTGAAATTAGATTAAAAAAATCTTGCATCTTCACTTGTATCACTGTTTATTTCACGCATGCGCATGCATTTTATTGCACAGTCATGCAGGGTTTTTCAAGTGCTTTTCTTCCAAACCGAATGATATCATGTACATTAGTATTTGTCACTGTTTTTGTCCCAGCTGTTACAACACTGATTTTGAAAATGCATTTGACTTTTTATTCGTACCGGAAAAAAGTAAAAAATGCTTTTTTACAGTCTAATCTGACACCTGAAAAATTAACCAGTGAATATAAGCAATACATTTATTTTGGCATACTTATTGGTTTTTAAAATCATGCTGCGTGCAAGTGTAAAAAAGAGTATGTTTATTTGGTGCACGATATACACGAGGAGTGTTCAATAAGTTTCACCGGTTTAACTCACAGATTGTAAGATGGTTTTAACATATTTTTTCAATATATAATCCCCCTTAGATCCACGTTTCTTTAATTGCCTTTAAATAAGCCGTCCGTTTGGTCCACAAACCACGCCTCTGAGCGCATCATCATCCCGAAATTTGGTTCCACGCAAGTGGATGTCACCAGGGACTTTCAATCCCGAAACCGATAATGATAAAAAAACTTGAGACCGTTCGACTATATGGTGGATGATTCAACTGCTCAAACTTGCATTCACGAATAGCCGCTTGTGCAACTAATGGCTTATGCACAAGGGAATTACAATGTAAAGGAAGGACACAAGCGGCTAGTTTCTTCCTTCGTTTTTCTTTAATAACATACCTTTATTTGTTTATAGAAATACTACATTCTGAAGCAAGTTTGGCAACTTTGATTTGGCGATCATTGACCACAAATCTCTCAACAACACGGTCGATCATCTCCTGGCTGATGACACCAGCAAGATGATCTCTAGGGAGTCTTATCCACGTCTAAATTCTGCCGACCACTTTGCCACTGTGGAATTCTTTGGGCTACTGTCACCATACACATCACGGTCATGCGGCGATGGATTTCTTTTGGCATCGCCTTCTCAGTGAGGAGATTTATGACATTCATGGCTGCTCTGAACTCAATATTCAAACTTTCGATTTCTGCATATACATGTACAATAAAAATAGTAAGTGCAAAAATGTACATGCTAAATTGAATTGGCTATTACATTCAACTGACAAAATTAAGGTTTACAATTCAAAAAAGAAGATCTTAAAATTTAATATTGTATATAAAAATTCCGAGTTCTGCGGACCTATTGAACTCCCCTCGTATAAAGAAGAAATAACACTATATCTCAAACAAGACAAACTCAATCAAAATGCTTCGTTCTGTCAACTTTAATATGATTTTCTATGATGCCATCACATTTTCCTCAATTAGTCAAATATTGTTTTACCCTATTAAATTTTGTTAAACCTCTTAAGAATGATTTTCTACAACAGGCTATATTAATTTGAGTTATAACTTGTTTTGTATGTTTTAGGATACTGAAATTAATAATATATTAATATATCTTCTGATTAGTAAGTACATAAAGAGCATCAATAGACGCGCTTTTTGCAGCACGCACGCGTAAATGTGCACGTATATAGATTAAGAAATAATGATATCGCCATATAGGGTTTCAGTCAAATTGTTAATCTTTAAAATCAGCAATATATATCCATGGTGGATGATCACGTTTTATTTGATTACGCTGTATCATAGTTGGGAGACCTTCCTGTTGAAAATGTGTCAGACCGATAAATATACGATGCGTTAGTAGACTGTAATATAGCCCTCACTGTACGTATGTCGTGGATAAGCATAGAGCATGCTCGTTGATTGGCTACATTTTACTTATTAGGTCGACAGGAAAAAAGATAATGATAGAAAAATCATATTTAGATGCTCTTGTTCATTTATACTGGGGTTTCAAATTGTGTCGACATGGAAAGTGTTTGTGTGTTTGTGTGTTTTTTATTTTTATTTAACGTTGTTTTTTTTGTTTGTTTTGTTTTTGTTTTGTTTTTTGTTTTGTTTTGAAACATAAAAATAATTGGTAATCTGATTTATATTATCATACAAATGAAATAGCCTCGTTTTTCGATGCTTTTTTGCTCTTTCTATTACGTAACATTGGGCAACTGCTTGCAGATATTTGTTTATATGTTGAATGTATTCTTCCGTTATTGAGGCGTGAAAGTCGTTTCCGTTCTAATTCATTTATTTGACATGCTGCGAATCACTATAGGGGAAACCAATGTATGACTTTTCAAAATAGAAATCGGAATGAATTCTTGATTCCGAATTTATTTTTAGCTATAAATCGAAGTGATGAATTGCAGGCCTCGACACTAACTTTTTAGCAGGTGGTAAGCCGGGCCACTAGATTTGAAATTAAGGTGGTCCTTCCAGAAGTCAGGTGGTCAATTTTATTATTATATCATTTTACTGCAAATTTAGAAAAATATATGCTTAAATTGATGACAAAGATGTATTATTAACCTTCAATAAAACAGATATTTTAGATATTTTTTTTATCTAATCAAAAATTTAGGAGAGCAAGTTAGTAGGTATTCTATCGTGAAGTTATTTGTTTGTTTCTTTATCTCATTAAAAAATAAACAACAGTACTCTAATTTATGGTAACATTAATATTGAAATGACTTTTCCCTCAACTCAAGGGAATAGTAAACCATTTGTGTCTGTTATTTTTTGACTGTTATTCAAATATACATTGCTGATACGTAGTAAGTCTTATAATCACGATAATTGCATGTATCTTTTATAGATTAACATTTTTAATAAAACTAATAAATTATCTTATTCTTGTCTTTGAAAGCAAGGAAACATCTAAAGTATAAAAAATGATAAAAATGTTATATATAACTATAGACTTAGTTAAGCTTATTTTTCTCACTGATTTATTATGAATACAGAATATTTACCTCCCTGTTGCTTGTTGGTTGATATTTCATTTTGACATTGAATATTTTTAACCTTTTAAAGTAATTTTAACTCTGGAAAAGTGAATCTCTTATCGTTAAACAGTTAAAATAAAGAAAAGTAGCAAAGAACTACAAGATGTATGTTTACTATCATTATTCAAGTCAAGTATATGAAATTTAAAGTTTATCAGATACCCCATACAATATCATAATTACCATCGCCAGATACCCATGGTTGATTAAAATATAACATAACATAAATGTAAATGGTTCCGCCGTGGGTATCAGACGATGCATAATTACTAGTATCATTTGAATGAATTTTGTACCAAAATTAATATCACAAAAATTTAACTCGTTTAACTTGCATAAACAAAATATTAGCGACTGAAAATGAAAGTTATTGATGACTTAAGAACTTCTTTGACTAATCAGAGATTAATGTATTTTGTATTTGTATGAACCCATACATGTACATCGGACTAATGATTTAAAACAAAATTTATATATAACATGTTTTTGACCAAATCGCCATTCTCCCAAATGAGCCTTGCACCAACCAAAATTCAAGTGGTCCGACGGACAAGTGGCTTTTAAAATTAGGTGGTCATTGACAAAATCAGGTGGTCTCGGACCAACGGACCACCGCTAATGCCGATGCATGAATTGATAAAAATCGGGTCCATGGACAAAAATAATAGTAAACACAAATAGCTTTGCGCGCAATGACGGATTGTCATATGATTGCTTATCCAAATTATTAGTTCGCTGTTTTTGTGTGTGTGTTTTTTTCCTGAATAATTTATTTCATAATAATATTTATTTGTATACAAAATGTAAACAGCGAAATAGAACTGTTATAAGATATGCACTTATAAATTTATAAATTGTCTATGATGTTTTTCTTCTATTCATCACGTAATAATGTTATGCATATGTCTTTATGTTATACATTTGACGATATAAACATCTTATAAAATTAATGAGTGTATAATTTGAAGTATTGGCTATACACATGTATAGCTAATGTTACGGTAGAGATTTTTCTTTTAAATCTACTAAATCGCTCATAGCATGGACTTATACATCATATGAGTGCTTGATCTTTCTTTGGATTAAACTATACATATATCAGGTAAAATATATCCTTTCTTGTTATCTAAAAGGATTTCTGATTCAAATGGGTCTCAATTTGTCGTCTGCGTAGATTTCATTTTGTCGTCTGCGTAGAAATTCTGCCCATGATCCATTACTGATGTTAATGGTTAAATACGTAGCATTCGACCAATACGATATTAACTAAACAGAAAATAATTTATAATTTTTAACACTTGTTGCGACTGAATTTATCATTTTCCTTATCATATTTCATGAAAATACTATACGAAATCGATTAAAATTACACTTTCAAATTACTGAGGAGATTATAATTAAGACTGCCTCCAGATCAGACAAACAGTTTAAAGAAAATCATACTTGAGAAAAATGTACTAAGATCTTGAGTCAAGATTCAAGTAATAATAACTTACATGATATGCGCTATTAATGACAGTATTAATTTCCATAATGTTTATTTTTGCGTATTTTGACCACATTTTGGTAATTTACGTGGACTGTAAGCGCAGTTTATTATTTGTAAATTAATATCTTTGCTCACTTTACAATATTTTACTTTAAAATACATTGTTAATATTTTCATGAAAATTCTGGTAGCGGTAACAATGGTAATAAATTATGGTAATAAATACTGCAAAATCAGTCATTAAGTGCACATAACATGTAAATTATTACTTAAATCTTGAATCGCTGTTTGTTTGTTTGTTTATCACCAAACTATAAATAGATGTTTGTGTATGTACTTTTTATCATTAAAGGAAAATAAAGAGAAAAATTATATTTCCAAAACATGTTCTTCAAACTTGAATTAAATAATTATCTGCTTAATTCAGACCATTTCATACTTTTGAAGTTGGATTCAGTCATTTGTAAAACGTATTAACGATTTCAAAAGTATCACGCAGGTCCAAGATTTTACACATAAACAGCTAAAATGACCTGGGACGTAAATTGTGCAGTCTACGGTCTAGGTTAGACAGACATTGCCTAAAATTATTGCTGCAATATTTATCTAGCGTTTATTTCAAGGTAACTTAATTAATTGGTCTTGTTTTCGAAAGTGTATAGTTGACAACATGACTTATCTTGCAGTCGGAACACCTCGACTATTATTCACAATATCCGAAGTTTGACGGAAAGGGCCGAGTAGTTGCGATTGTCATATTTGCTGCGTGGTTTTTATGAATCTCGGAAAGTGGCGATATGAATCGAATTTTATCGAGGATATTTTTTGATGATCCTCAATTAACGGTCACGCTTTGTTTCATGAGTTATTCAATAGTAAATTATGCAGTTTCTTGAAGTATGACTACCCTAAAATGCCGAGTAGATGCAAAATAAATTATCTCTGTGGATGCATATGGTACTACATTAAAGACTCCTGTAATACATATGATATAGCCCTATTTAATTGATATAAGTTGTAGATATCCTTACATATACAAATGTACATAAGCTACGCCATCAGTACATTTTTGATCAGGTGAGCTAAAACAACACCGGTTTAATCTGTATACTTTTCGGTCTTCCTATCAACACTCCTTTGAGTATTGATAATCATTGTAATCTACTCTTCATAAATGGAGGAAATAAAAGAATAAATCAATCAAGCCAACCATCCAATTACATATACTTTGATAAATTTCATCAAGTATTTACAAAAGAAAAGATTAAAATGTTTACTTATTAGATCTCTTCAAAACTGAAGTCGAATCTTAGAGATATTACAAAACCTCATTTTATCAGATTAAGTCTACGTTAATAGTTGCAATAAATATAATTGGCGAAAAGTAAAAGTGCATGTAATGATTTATTGCCGTGCCTTAGTATGATGTAGAATGTAGCATTAAAGTCACACTATTGAATTCATTTTTCCTCGTTAGAAAGGTAAGCGTGTGATTTATAATGTTGTAATAATGGATTTAAATTTAGAGCACGTGCGATGCTTTTTAGCCTGAGGAAAAAAGTTCTGAATATAACATAATATATCACAAAGTAAACAAAATATAAACGAATGCCGTACATAATATTATAGATAAACTAACGACAAAGGCTCATCTAAGTGGCCAATAATTAAAAAAAAACTGTAACATGGCACAAAAATACAATGTAAACAGATTTTGAGAACTTAAAGAAAAAGGCATTTTTCAGGCATGATGGGCCTTTAAAAGTGTCTAATCATTTTAATTTTATACAATCGTTTGAATACAAGTAATTTGAATTTCTGCACTCGTACGCATCATTTTAAGAAAAGCAAAATATATGCAGCGAATTTTATTGCCGATAAATGGATCGACACAAAAGGAAGTTGCACATAATATTTGGAATGGTGCAAATAAGTCACAGGCTTTTAAACATTACGATAATTCCTAAGTAGCTTTTTTTGTCGTAACAGTCACTAACAGTCACTTAAATATTCAAAAGCGGAAAGTTTAAGGTAGACCAAACATAATAAAGTTGAAAGAGTTGCAGGCCCGGTTTGATTGAGCTCGTTCGTGGACGGCAGTAATAAATTAAAGTAAACTTCCCTCCCCTTCTCCGCCCAAACACACACTGTTTACGATCACACCGTAGATGGGAGTTAGATAGTAGGCGGTGCATCTCACTCTTGAGTCTCATATCAGTTGTAGAGGGTAAAGTATTTAAATCGGTATGTATACAAAATCGAAATGTTTTAGTCAAAAAGTTGTTGTTTATGATAGATGACTTCGATGTATAAAGATACAATGTTTATTTATATTTTCCTGTCTGCAGCATGTTGAAACCTTAACAAATATGGGCATACTTATTTAAACCCGGATGTACAAAATCGAAATGTTTTAGTTAATTGATCATTAAAGTTGTAATTAATAATAAATTAACTTTGATATATACCGATACAATGTTCTTTTATATTTTCCTGTCTGCCGATTAAGCAGCATGTTGATGAACTTTAAAAAATATGGGCATACTTATGGCACACCGTAAAAGAAACGAAATAATTTAACGAGATGTCGTGAAATACGTGCAATTTTTCAATAACAAATACTAGTACTTAGGAAACAATGGTAAAATTGTACAGCCCTATTGTGATGTTACGATACTTTGTACCAAAAAATTCGTAACAACCCCGTATTTAGTCTACATTTACCAAATCTTCATTAAAATAGTAAGTTTGAAAGAAATAGGACGAAAAGTTTACCGCGCATTTGTTTAAAAGGAACCTTAAAGTACCTTTTATTTCAAGCTAAAGGAGAAGATTATAATAGAAGATAAAATATTTGTCGTTTCAATTGGGAAGTGATATTCTATACTGACCCATAGCTCATTATCTAAACCAGCCTACCAACTATTGAATGGTATAATCATATATCAAAATATATTCTAATTTACATAAATTTGTTTATCATTTACATTAGAGGGTGATTCTTCAAATACATTTACATATAACTTGATTTGAATAACAGATGTAATTACAGATAAAGGCGCGCTATCATTAAAAACGTTCACCGATTCAGGCACAACATTTCGGCCCTTTCCGTCAATCAATCACAACATTTTGGCCCTTTCCGTCAATCAGCGTTTGAGATGATTATTGACAGTTGGCGATGCTTTCCGATGATCACCGATTCGGCCGTATTAGAGACATATAGATAACAGTAGCTTATATCTGTTATTTACATCTCTGTCCGTATATTTGATTTTTGAATGTACTACATAGCGAAAATGTTTAAGATTGACTAAATGACAATACCTTATAATGGCAATAGCTTATATACTTTATTTGTATATTTGGGGACGTTTATATATTTCGATCGATTTAATTTACTTGTTTTAACAGGATATTCCTAAATACACGCCGTTACCCACGCAGTGCAAAATGAACGAATCAGTATAATTTGCGGAAGATTTGGTCCGCAGCGACCATTATATAAATTTATTGCGAGTATTACAAATGTAATTTTTTCAGGTGTATCACCTCTGTTAAAAAATTAACGCGAAACTCAGATTTATACGAAAGGGTTTGCAGGATAGAAATATATTAAACATTTGTCAGGCATTATGGGCCTTGAAATATAAATTATTCAATAAAGATACAAATAAAGATATATTTACTTAATTCATCACACTACACTTGAACTAGTTAAATATGAGCTCAAAAAATTTACAAGTGTTTTCCTTTTTTTCTGATTTCTGTATCAAGATTATACTATTGCAATTTTAGAGGCAATTCCCAAACAGTTTACAAACTTATAAAATAAATAAAACTAATACAAAAAGGGAGAAAAGGAATATGAGATAACAAATAAAAAAGAAAACAAAACAAAAAAGTACTATTTGTTAGCGCTCTTACGCACATATTCCAAGCTTGTATTATACTCTTTGTTAAAGGCACCTGACCCCCCTCCCCCGCCCGGCCCAGATTTATATACTTTGTACACACATTTTTCCCCAGAATTATAATCTTTATTGTGTAAAATGACTTAAAAACTCCCAAACTTTTAACATTAAACAATGTAAGAGTCGTACATTTTCTTCAATTTATACTGAGTATATTTTATTAATATATTTTGCATGCTTTTCCTTTTTCAGTGCCCAAGTTGCTCTTTGTAAGAATTTAAGATTTGATATTCAGGCCTTTGGACATCAGTGAATATTCTTTAAATGTTTACCACTGATTCTGAAGCCACCCCCACCCCCGATAAAAAAGAAGTCAAATCTAATTTTGTGAAAAGTACGGATTTACTGTCATCAGAGATATGTCAATGTCACCGTGCCCTTTTAATTACATGTACTTTAAAACGGGAAGTTAAATGATCAGTTTATAGGTAAATTGTTGTGAACTTGAATTAAATAAACATATTCTCTGCCTTTTGACCGATTTTTGTCGTTTCCATGCGTGACAACTTGTCACCAATATTTAAACTATACCAGATTATGGCCGTAATTTGTGACAATTTAGTTTTTCTAGATAAATTATTAAATCATTGATCACATAGAATGTTAAACTTTATAAAAGATTATTTTCTCAACTTTTGATCTTGAAGCAAATACGTTAAATATTTATATGTCTTACATCCAGTGCAAAAGTTCATGTGGCATAACACGTTTTCATGTTTTTAGGTCCGTTTACGGTTTTGTTCCTTTTGTGTTTTTTTAGCTCGACTTTTCGATAAGAATAAGTAGAGCTATTGAAGTCACCCGAGCGTCGGCGTCGTTGTCGGCGTCGGCGTAACCACTTATGTTAAAGTTTTTGTAAAACCTCAAATATTTTCAAAGTCTATTGACATATTATTATGGCTTTGAAACTTTGCACACTTGTTCAACATCTTGACCTCAACCTGTAGACAGGAGGAGGTAACTGTATTAAGCATTTTGACAGAATAATGCCCCTCTTTGACTTAGAATTTAAGTTAAAGGTTTTGTAACACCTCAAATATTTTCAAAGTCTATTGACATATGGCTTTGAAACTTTGCACACTTGTTCACTATCATAAACCCAACCTGTAGACAGGTGGAGGTAACTCTATGACGCATTTGGCAGAGTAATGCCCCTTTTTCAACTTACAATTTACATTTAAGTTTGCATACCACATCAGATATTTTCACATTCTATTGACATCTGACTTTGAAACAAGTTGAAATGTCTTCTTCTTTGAGAGCATAATAGGACTCTCTCCAAGGCCTATGACTGTTATGTGGATTTAAAGAAAAAAATGCCGTTTTGTTAACTTAGAAAATTTAACATTATCAAGGCTTTTTAACTATCAAGCACTAAGAATAGTCGCGCGTTGCTGTCCTACCGACAGCTCTTGTTCGTCCTTAATGTAGAGCAGAGGAGGGGGGGGGGATAACATAACTTAAAATGTCAATGAAGGTCACAAGATCGACTCCGGGTCATCCTTCTACCATATCTTCTAATCTTACATATAATCTAGCCCACAAAAAGTCCTGTCTCTATTCATCAGCAAAAAACATAATTATCTTTAGCTAACTAATCAGTGTATTATATAACACCAGGTCACTGATGCGTATTTGACAAATGAAGAAACAGCGAAATAGGTGTCTATTTTTACGGAACTTTTATAACCTTTTAACATTCTCTAATTGTTCAATTTTTAAACTGGATGAAAGAGGCTGGTAAGTTATTAATGTTCTCAATTTGGCTTATAGTTTTGTAATCTGGTTTTTTTTTTTAAAGTTCGACCATTGTAAACAAAGTAGATTGGGAGATATAAGTGTTAAAACTATCAAGTTATGTAATCGCTGCACATGGGAAGATAGTACACTTTGCGAGGTTTATTCAAAACATTCTTTTGTGTGTAAAGACAGCTTTGAAAAATAGCAAACGTCTTGTTTAGAATGTAACATAACTATTTTTCATTTTACATGTTCCTTACACAACCTGATTTCCAAATGATGTGCACAGTATTGTTACTTTCTTGATATTATACAGGACTCCGCTGAGGATATTTCCTATTTATGGACGTGTGGCTAAGTGGCTTAACCTATGAATCTTGGGTTCGAGCCCTACTTGGGTCATGACCATTTTTCCTAATATGACACCAGTACTTGTTAGTTCCAGGAAGCGGACTCGAAAAGCGATTATCGTAACTAGCAAACACTATTTTCGCGCTTAGACAGATAAAATTTAAATTTGCATTCTTTGATTTTACCATATTTTACTGCTTTAAAACATGTACATAAAATAAAAAATGTACATTAGAGAACAGAATTCAAATAATTCTGTAAAGGAAACATGTATGTCAACAGTAAAACTCAAATTTGTTGGACCTAAAGTTTTACCAACATCAATGAAGACCCTTAAGAGACAACATTTTGTATTCCATTTGAAGTAGGTCTAAACCAGTGACAAGTTAAGTGCAAACTTTCTGTTCATTTGCTTACTCATTTCATTTACTTTTTTTTCGTTTTTTTTTTTTTTTTTTTTTTTTTTTTTTTTTTTTTAACGTGATAAAGATGACCTATAAATGACAAGCAATCAAACGCTGTTGACGCAAAACGCACAGACAATTTTCAATTTTATTCTGAGCATATTTCTTTATTTTTTTCATTGAAAGTGCATCAGGCTATCAGCTGATCCATATCAGAATTTCAAATTATGTTCTTGGTCTTTTGGACCTCATAGAAGCTCCTTTAATTTAAAATACTGTCCTCTTTTTCAGGATAGACCAAGAATCCATGTTCACATCTTAAACCTACTGAATGATGAAGGCTTTTACATTATACAAGATTGGTCGAATAAGAAATAAATGGATTACCGACGGATTGTCCGAAATCATGAGCACATTTATGCTAGCTGTAGGTTATTATATTATTAAAACACATTTCAAGTGAGGTAGTCTGATTCATCGTCTTTTTTTGTCAAATTTAATTGGTTACCGGTTTCAAATTTGGTTGATCAAATAATTTTGAGTCATGTTTACAAAATTCAAAGTTGGTGTGGGGCAGTAACCTTAAATTGAATTCAATTCCACGTTTGAATGTGTGAGCATGTGGTACAGTTATAACTACTGTATGATGGGTTGTCCAAAAGTCACATGATTTGGATATGAGATGATTTACAGACACTTGCTGTTCTTCTTAAATGAATGAATGAATGAATGAATGAATAAACATAGTACTAAGAATTGCAAAGAATATTCACCATTTTAGATTTCTCGTTAAAGCTCCCTATTGGGCGAAGCGGGCGGACTCTTTTTTTGCGACAAAATGCCAAAATATATACCCCATAATATAATGTCATAATATGACATCATATTATTACGTCATATATTATATGTATGTTATATTCTATGCCATACAACTATTCCTTAATACAACGATATTGAAAAATTAATTGTGTGTGTGCGTGCGTGTGTGTGTTATCATTATGTTCTACTTGATTTTGTTGGTGTCTACCATATTGCAAATATGAAATAAATAAAAACGAATTAAAGTTTTAAAATTTAATATGCTGCAGCACAGTTCTACATTGAGATAAATTCGAAGTGATTGAATAAAGAAGAAGCAATTTTGTAAATTTCAACTTCTTTGTTGAAATATTTTAAGGAAGTTTATATGAACGATTTAGATCTAGTACGTTAAAAGTTACACTACTTAGTATGTTACGTGCATTCTATAAATAGCATTTTCACTATATTGTGTACTTTTATACAACTTCTCACTAGTATTTTTGCTTCTCGTTTACAACCAGCTTTTCGTGTATGCATCTGGTGCTCAGGATGTGTTGACCCGTGGAGCTGCAAGTTCCCCAACTGGTCGAGCATTAGCAGCGGGAGTTGGTCTGATGCTGGCGGTATACTGTGGTTTTAATGCTTCTGGTAATTTCATTATAAATTAACTATTTTGAATATTTTAAATTTCTCTAAAGAATTATTTGTAATAGATTTAATTGATTTTTCAGTGGCCAAGTGCATGCTTAAATGTTGTTGACTTCAAACCACTCACCCTTCACCGCTACGGGGCCAAATCCCGCTAGGGATTTTAAATTCTTTCAAGTGAAGAAACTATCAAGCTATATCTAGCTTATGCTATGTTCTCACCGCCGATCAGATCAACTCGATCGTCCCGATCACATTAATTCCCCGATGAAGCCCGACCAAGCTGGATTAAATGCACATTCACGACTCCTACACGACCTCAAGTCGACCCGACAACCCGACCAACATCCCGACTTCTTCTCGATCACCCAGACCTATACGCGAGTCATACACGATCTCAACTAGACTAACTGGACCTCTGCTCGATCGTTGCCAGATTTCCACCCGACCAGATCGTAATCGAGTCGTAAATAGTCGTGAATAGAAGTCGAGATGATCGTGTACAGATCGGGTAAGAGATGTATACCCGACTAAACTAGATCGTTACACGATTTATTGTCGATCAACTAGATATTCTATTCGATCACTATACGATCGCTTCTCGACCGCTTATCTACTCGATCGCTACTCGATTTGTTTTTGACATGTCAAAAAAATTCGGGTTGGAAGCTCGACCCATGCTGACCTAGGTAGACCACTCCGACCACCCCCGATCACGCATGCAGACCAAGCTAGACCGGTACCCGATCGCTTGATCGTGCTTGATCGAGTTGATCTGATCGGCGGTGAGAACACAGCATTACCGTTACGGAACGTCGGTGGTTTTACTCAGGTACCCGTTTGGGCCTTAAATAATGCACGGATGGTAACAAAGAGGTCTTTCTACACTTGTAAAGCTGGAAAGTGGCCACATGTATTTTACAGTATTGATGCGGTGTAAAACCAAAAAAAAAATAATATATGAATAAAACATTTATTTTCTTTGACATAGGAATGATCTGCTTTGATTTAATCATTTTTTTTACAGTTTTTGACTTTATATTTGCTTTTTCTCAAATGGTTAGCATCTGTAGTAAGTATGTATTATGGATTTAACTCGTTACAGGACTGGAGCAGTACCTCTAGACGCTTGCAGAAATCATGCTTACAAAATAGACAAATATCGTTTTTTCACCGATTATCACAATTTTTCATTCATTATCATACATAAATCGGCGTGAAAAGATGAATTAGACTGTTTAAAATCCATTCCGTTTGTAAAAATGCAAGATTTTATCATTTTATCATTCAACCGCCTTGTCCGTTATATACCGGAATACGGTATTAAGTGTGGTGCTCCAATCCTTTTTTTTAGTCTCACTCATTAAAAATTTGGTAATCTGTATCAGGTGCCTGTGTCAACCCGTGTATTGCATTGATGTTTTGTTTGACGGGAAAGCTACAGTGGAGGAGGTATCCAGTCTACGTGATATGTGAATTTACAGGAGCATTCATAGCCGCTTGTTTCACTTATGGAATATACTCTGGTTAGTTGTCAACAGATTGGTCACTTCCTTTTACAAAAAATTGCAATTATGTTTAATTATACTTAACTGGTTCATATAAATGGATATAGATATTAAAGGCACTCCACACTGAGGTCCAAAAGCCTATTTAAACATTTATTTTGTTTTTTAAATAAGTCAGTTTGGGCATTTAAACAGAAAGATATGCAAAAAAATAATTAAGAAATATGCCTAGAAATAAATTAAAAAATCGTGTTTTGTGCTAAAAATCTTATCCCGATTTCAGAGAAAAGCTGTGTAACGTTTTTCAATTTTGGGTATTTTTTCACAATTACAATGTACAATAAATATTCTGGAAAAGAAAACGGAGGGAGCAAATAATCTAAACGTTTGCACACAATTTATTGGTCTAGACCTACATCAAAAGGAACATTAAAATAAAGAAAATATTTCTATTCCGTCATGTCGAAAAGTCAGTAGAGTCTCTTTAAAACATAATTAAAATGCTCGTCTATTATGAGTATCAAAATTCGACGTTATAGCCTTTTCTTCCTTTGGTTTGAACGAGGATAGGCTTATCTAATTTTGTATTGAAATATTATAGTGCAAAAATGTAATATTTATGTGATAATAATCATTAACTTGTTTACATTTTCTACACCATCTCCGTTTCATTAGACCGTATATATCACCAAATTTTATTGAAAATATTCAATCTTTTTTTTCTCTTTGTCTATGTTCCATGATTGATTTAACTGTGCATAATTTACATTAACACTTAACCAGTTGAGATTTTTGTAATGATTTCGCCGTGTTTTGAATATCTAAAAGTCAATTTAAAGCTCAAAAAAATTTTTAATATAAAATACAAAAGCTGAATAACCAACAGTATATAGAGCATGGCAGGACCGGCGAAAATGCTAATCACTTTAGTTTACAGCATGTTAAAGGTCAATTATGCCTCAGAAATGCTTTAATTTTTATTTCTCACAAGCTTTTAATGTTGGTGTACTTTAATAACATCCAAACACATAGTCATTAGTCATTTACTAGACCATCTTTTTCATCTGAAGCTTTTTAACAATAAGTATATTTATAGTGAATACACACAGTTAAAAATTAAAACATACCTTCAACTATTCAGGAAACCGAGTGAGGAAATATGAATAACAAGTATCAAAATTCATTTTTTTTAAAATAGAATTGTTGACATGCTAGTACTTTATTCAAATATGAAATTGTATCTGTATATCATAAAAATCACAATCAATTGACATCACATGTTTTCGTTCTAAGTCTAGATTAATTTCACTTTCCACCACCTCTCATAAGATGTTATCTTTAGTAATTACACTAGATAATTGGTTTAATATCTATATTACTGATCTACGTAAGCAACATCGATGTCATACCGATTTAATAACGTTTACTCATGTGGAGTCTACAAAAATGTGGTACACGATACGAGAAAGTTTTTGTAAAGATGTTTTCTAAAGTTTCCCGTAGAACTCAAATTTTAACGGTTATATATGGTGATTATTTTAACTCTTTGTGTGTCAACAAAACAGTAAAATTATAATCATTAAACTGTTGCTTTGCTTCCGTGATACATTTGCGGTTAAAAGTTAAAAGTATGAAATTGATCCTAAAATATTTTCTCCTGTTAATTAAAAGACATTTGAGCCGCGTCATGACAAAACCAACGTAATGGGTTTGCGACCAGCATGGATCCAGACCAGCCTGCGCATCAGCGAAGCGCAGGCTGGTCTGGATCCATGCTGGTGGCAAACGCACTATGTTGGTTTTGTCGTGACGCGGCTCATTTATTTGTTATACATTCTATATACCCAATCATGCTCTCATTGTCAACATATTAAACCTTTTACAAAAAATAAAGTTGCACCAGGAAAAATCTCGCGATGTCAGGGATAAAGTCAATCAACATGTTTTTTTTATATAAAAAAATACAGGGCTGTAAATCCGGACAAGCCCGAGCACCCGTTATACAATCTTACCAAATTTGTCAAGTTTACAATGAAGAAGCAAATGTGTCAGAGACAAAAACTTCGGGTGCTTTGATGAAATACTTGCCATACAAATACAAAGTCAAAATGTTCCAATGCGAGAAGTTGTTTTTATTGTAATCGATGAAGGTGTGTGTAATAATTTGAAATATCTAAAGAGTATATGAAAACTTAAACAGCTTTTATCTTTATCCTATTGTTCATTTTGTTACAGAATTGATAAGTAATTTTGACGGAGGCAAACGGCAGATGTACGGAGAGAATGCAACGGCGCATATATTCACATCGTTTCCGAGAGATGATCTTTCTAAAACAACAGGATTCTTTGATATTGTAAGCGATATAATACAAATAAATGTGTATTATTTTCCTAAAGATATATACACTTACAATTATTAACTTCCCGTGCCATAATTTGCAGCCTACCCTGAAGTTTAAAGCTCAATCTTCAAAGTGATTTTTATGGCGGGGTGGGAGTGGGATTTACGTCGCACCCACACAGTATAGATCATATGGCGACTTTCTACCTTAACTGGTAGAGGAATACATCAGATGCACTTCTGTACATTATTTCAGGCACAGACGAGCACTTGAGGGTAGAACCACCGACAATACGTAAGTAACCTGGATAGCTTTCCCAACGACACTTGCTCGACATGAACCCCAAGCGATGAGAGGCAATTGGTTTGAAGTCAACGGCTTTTAAAGTGATTCTAAAATTTTCAATGATTTGCTTAGTATTTCGACACATTATGTTTCTTGTATCGTTTTATTTTGGTTTTACAGTTCACAGGATGTGGTCTGCTGACAGGAACAACGTGCATGTTAACTGATCCCAATAATGCTAAAACGGCTTCAGGGGTCATACCTTTGTCACTTGTGTTCTTATTGTACGGCATCCTGATGTCCTTTGGGTTTCAAACAGGTGCTCCAATTAATCTAACAATTGATTTCTCTGGTCGAGTCTTTACTTACTGTGCTGGATATGGATCAGAAGTTTTTAGGTAAATTACATAGCCAACTTGGCAATGCCATTACAAATAATTTGAATCAGAATTTAGATCACGTTTCCTTGTCATCAAAGCTAATGTAATTTTTACTTGATTTTCGATACTTAGATTTAAATGACATTTCATTTTGATACAAATAAGCCTGTAAGACGTTGACTTAAAGGTTTGGAGATTCTTTTGGTTATAATGTCTATTTCGTTTACAAAATAAAAAAAACTACCCAGGGTTTTTAATGATATCATCATCATCATCCTCATCATCAATCATCATCCTTACTAGTATTTGTTACATCAAACAGTTACAACCTAATAAGAATCAATTGATCTTGATCCTATTTTTCATCTTGACCAAACGGCTCAACAGTTGATTATAGTGCACGGACTATATATGATATAGTTGAAGTTAACTTATATATATTCAACTTAGATATTCATCAAGTTGCACTGGAATTGATAATATTTGAAAAAAAAATCAGCGCTCTAGTTGCTCACGAAGCTATGGTGGTAAAATGAAAAACACCCTCATTTGCCTAGTTCTGGATAACATCTATTAACAGAGTTCATTTAAAAAAAATGTTCAAATAAAAATAAAAACTGACGCTTTCTCACATTTGATAAACATGTCGAATGAAGGTACTTTAGAACCGCATATAAATTACGAAGCAAATTAAATCATATGTACTAAATTTTTTTTAACCAAGATACCGTAGCTAATGGTAAGATTGTATCAGTTAACATGATTTATATATCACCCAGTTTTCTTCACACTTTACAAAATGTAGAGTGCAAGATCAAAACGTATCGTTTTTACCCACTTACTTAAAAACGAATTAAGTGAAATGTTTTTATGATAATTAAATTCTTACTCTTTATTCAATAATATTTGACTCAGTATGATACTAGTTTGGCTAATGAAACACAAACAACAGCAACAAAGACTAACAAACACAAACAACAACAACAAACAAACACACAAATAACAAAATTAAAGACAAACAAACAACAACTAATACAAAACAAACACACACAAATAGCAACAACAGAGACAAACAAACGTATTACCGAAAAAATGCGTGTTTCATCCGGTATTTGTCTTGTCATTTACTGTGATACTATACATGCATATATGGCTTTCATATAGATTTCAATAATTTGAGTACAAAGTTTGAGCAAAGACTGATTACTATAACATCTAACTATTCCACTATTTTTACTATTGTTTGTTTCTTTACAGTCGAGGAGATTACTGGTTTTGGGTTCCACCAGTCGCGTGTGTCTGTGGAACAATAGCGTTTGTGACAACATACCAGTTAATGATAGGCAACCATCTCCCGATGGATGATGAAGATGACAACGACGACAAAGAAGGAACGGTGAAATCCAGTGAAAATCGTGACGGGTTCACAAAAGATTTAAATCACTTTTCGTCAAAAGATTCAATAAACACAAATGACACATACATTGCGGAAAATACTAAGATATAGTATAACTTGCACTGTACTGGCGTATAAAATGTAAAAGATACACGTTCTAAAAGTGTTCAATTGCCACATAATTGCCAAAATTGTGTTGAATTTTGCTCAAATACGGACACAATCATTTTTCACGATGATAAAAGTGGTGTTGGTGGTATTGGTAGTTTTCACTCCGGATCACGGCACATTCAATTTACCAGAGCACAGTTCAAAGTAATCATGCCGCCAATTAATATAGACACGCTGTTGACTAATGGTGTCTCTTTTGTGTACATGATACGTATATCGAACATCATGTTTGCTTGTTTCACAACGTATATTTCTATGTATACACCAAATGTATTCAGCTTGAATTTTTTACATTATTAAATTGCTTACATTATTAGAAATTGAAACGGTTTGCTTGCAACATTCAAGAGAATTATATACACAAAGGAAATTTAACTGTTGCAATAACACAGAAATTGATCCACTTATTATTTCATTTTTATCTATTGCCATTTCATCTTTGCAATTTTTGAAATGTAATTATTTGAAAAACGATATTATGTAAACCACATTATCTGTTAGACAAATCTAAGAAACTATCATGTAAAAAGGTAAATTTGATTTCAGAATTCTGTTTGAAAAATAATAATTGTTATTAAAAAGTAAATTACCACAAAAGGTATTAAGTGTGTGGCACCTTTTTGGTATTATCTTTGTCTAACTTTCAGTTTTTGCTATTCAGCGCTTAATCTTTAAAAAATGTATTTCTTTCTCTTTTATTTTGTTTTATTTTTGTTTTGTTAGTTTTTGCCTTTATTTCTTTTTATATGTTTTAATACATATTTATAGATGGTATGTAATTGCCTGCAATATTGAATGTGCATATACAATAAAATGATTATATCTGTACATATTCCACCCTGTTGGTACCATTGCTATATATTTGGTGATATAATTCATTTATTGCTAACACTTTTTTGCTTTGTGATAAATAGGACAAAAACAAACTAGGCAGAAATGCTGTTTTTATTTGATTTCTTCATTATTTTCTTATAATTTATTCTAGACATTGTAAAGCAAGTATTGCGATCAAGGGTAAGTCTTGCTGGTGATTGTCGGACGATAGTTAGCTGTTACTGGATACCTGACATCTGACCCACAATAGTTCCAGTAATATTCAGCTTGACTGAGGCAGGCAAACTCACTGTCATCTAAAATAGATATTTGGATATTTGTAGTGAAGCAACAAATTAAGCTAATATTTACCGCCATATTGATTGGTATTGTATTCAACATAAAAATGCAAAAATGCGACATGATATTGATTACTACTATTATATTCAATTATATATCAAAATATTAAATAATTGAACAATATTACAGTTTCGCATGTATTTTTCGTAAATGTTTAATATAAAGAAATTAATTGAAATAGGTCATCCCAAACGTAAAGAAGGTAAGATGGACAAATATGTCTTTCTATAAAAATGTTTTGTCTGTATAAAAATAAAGATCAAATTATTAAAGCGATAAGTAAAAAACAACAATATTAAACAAGGTATGTAAGAAGTGTAAAGTCTATAGAATAGAGGAAAATCACTAAAGAACGCCCAAAAATGAAAATTAAAATTATTGCATGGTTTGAATGAGTCTATTCAGGAGTTGCAGTGGAAAATGCCATCTACCATCCACGCATCCTAGAGCCGGCTAAAGCAGAATTCACCGTTTTAACATGAAATTGTGAAACCCCGCAAACGTGTTAAAAACACAAAAAACGGCGTTTACCTACCTGTTTGGAAATTTGTTGATCCAAATGCATCGTAGAATATCGACTTGGTATCTGTATGTGCAGGACAAGATTTGAGTGTGATCCAGCAGCCCCCACCAGCCGTTAGCTTGGCACCTTTCCAGTGAGTGATATAAAGATTAAAAAGAATATTTGAGATATATATTCAAAACTATTCTCAATTACTTAATTTGAATATGCTTTGCTTCAAAACAATTTTGATTACGTTTCAACTTGTTAAATATGTATCCGGAAATTTTACATAATTTATTAAAAATGATATAGGAACAAACATAGCAAATACTTATGCGTAATTAGGTAAATTATCTATCAAACACATCTATCTAGCTCAAAATGATAAGAAGACATTTCGCACAAATTTCTTTTTGCCCTTTACAAATTACCTGTTTTAAGATATACGTTTGTGACTGGGTATTGGGAACTTGATCCGCAGTAATGCCATATATTAAATGCACGTTTCAAACACCCATGCTCGGTATGCGTTTGGTCACCAATATAGTCGTTCTGATATTTTCCAAGTGTAGAATTAGGGTGGTTATCAACCGGACCGCCATGCTTTGGACAACCATATGTAGCTGTCATACAACCCTCACCACGAAGTGTTGTTGCACCTTGTATAGTTATTCAAACATTATTATGGTACTAAAATGCTTTCTCTACATATACATATTAACTTATAAAATACAACTTATCCTTATTTTTACCACATTACTATTGGCTGAATCTCTTAGTGCGTCAAACGGCTAACATTGAAAAATATTTTTAATGTTAGAACAAATAAGAAAATAAAATATACGAGTAACATTGTAGAAGTTTTACAAATGACATAGCCTTGTTTTAAAATCGATTTTATACTTAGGTAGATGCAGACGCAAAAACTGCTGCCTCTAGTTAACCAACCTGTCGGACCATAAATAGCAGCAACTTTTTCATCTCGATGAGAACCACAAAACTGCCATTGTTCATATGCCCGACGAAAACACATAGTTTCATTGTCACCGGCATTTCTGTATCGTTCTCCATACATGTCCCGGTAGGTCCCGATAGCAGCAGGATGGTGTCTACATTTTGTAACATTAAGCCAACAACCTTTGGAATATAAATTATTCATTCATTTGATTATACGAAAGATTCCGGCAAGACATTACGTTTATTTTCGAAAGTGTAAAATATTTTGAAGAACAAATTCAAATAATATTTGTAAATATCGGACGAAAAATGCAATAATCTATTCTTTAGAATTTTAGCTTGCAATATACCTTCCATAACGATTTATAAAATGCAGTGAGTTGGAATCTTTTAACCAATCGTGCTTTTTTGTTTGTTTTCTGGATTTTTGACGACGATTTTCTGTCATAACTCGGCGATTGATCCACCTAACCAGTTTTCCTAGATAATTGACCAGTTATTACCCTTTTCTCCTAAGCGACCGACTACTTATCTTACATGAGTTTTGAATCAACGGTGCAAGACAAATGACCTTATATAGACTCAATGTCACGGAGAAACTCCGCCTCGCCCGTAAGTTCAACTAGCGACCCTTTAGATTACTATTATCTATATACAAAGAAGTGACAGAATATTTTGACAAAGGAACAAAACAGCATGCAACTAGCATGTAAATGTTGTTATTATAAGATTTTTACACACCAGTATTTTCGACAGGGTAAAGGTCATTTTTCCTCGAGCCGTCTGGTAGATAGGCAGGTTTTGGCGGGTTTATTGGCGGTGCTTGTGTCGTACATGGATAGGATGTTTGTGTTGTGTTAACTAAATGCCAACGAACTACAATTGTGATGAAAACGTTTCAGGTACTTATATTTTCATAAAAATCTTTGGCAAAATTTATGTAAATGGATGTTCAAAAATATTCCTAACATAAGGAAAGCTTATTGGTGTTTTGTCATCCAGTCATGTATAATGCATGTTTTTGATTCGTTAAAATAATAAGAATTATTTTTTTCTAAGCCTGAAAATTAACCGCTGTAGTATGAAGTGAGAGTTATTCTTTACTTCTGTTTAAATAGTAGGGTCCAACTGGGGAGAACAGAGGTCCAACAGAATTCGGTAAAGGAGGTTGAGTGAAGTTTATTTGACTAGCTTGCTGTAGAGCCAAACATCTAACTCGTAGGTCACCACTTTCTACATTGTAATGGTCATGACCTCCCGATGACTAGAAGTAGAACGTATAAAATAAATTCTTAAATTCTTGTTTTAAAAAGTTAAGAGATGGTTTAGATGAAAATTTATTATCCTTTTCTTTTATTTTTTGAATGATTCTTATTTTGCAAAAACTGAATGCGTTATTAGTTTGCAACACTTTCTTGAGGGCGATAGATAAGTATACTACAGTGTACTATGTCAAAAGGAAGAATACGATTAAACAGAAACAATTTAAACAAATATTTCGACGAATCTTTTTTCCTAACTATTTCTTTCATTTAAACACTTTAAATTAAGAAAAGAAACAAATAAAAGCTATATTTTGATTACTTTTGATCTTGTTTTCAGCTCATTTATAATGCAAAACTTAAAATACTCACAAATACTGTTTGAGTTATGTTAAAGAATCGGGATAAATCAGTTTTCATAAGTGTTGTAATTCCAAGGATGTGTTTTGTGTGAGGTCTTGCATATATCACATTTCGACTAATTTGATTGCCTAGAATTAAAGATAATTACAAAGTTCAAAATAGTACAAATATAAATGTAATTGGCATATTGAAACAATTGATCAATTGAGTAAGCATCTTCTCATGAAGTTTTGATGTCAAGTTATTACTAGTCAATTGCTTAAGTAAGCAATCGGTCTAAAAGATAATTCTAATCCCAAAGGAAAACAAAAACCCGCTTGAAACATTATTCATTTTATATCAGTGGCCGGTGGCAATAAAATAAGATATATGGTTAAAACACGGAATTTCATGTATTGAATATAGATAAAGTTAATTAAAAGTTTTTGAAATGGTTTCTGGTCTATACCTTCTGGTAAACTGTAGTTCTTTATTTCAATATTGAGCAAATTGGGATATCTTTGACTCCATGCAGAGTCCTTGTATGGCATAGCCTAAAAAAGAAACATCTGTTATAACTCTGCACAAACATATCAACTACATGTTCAAATTACTCTACCAACCGTCACATCGTCAAATTCTTCTCGATGTTTTCGCCGAATTCACGTGTTCAAATGACACTTCCAAGCGTCACATTGTCAAATTCTTCTCGATGTTTACGCCGAATTTACGATAATGTTGGTCATGTCTCGGCGGTCAGTCTATCTTACCAGCTTATCTTGCATAACTTTAAATCAGCTGTGAGATCTTCTGTCACGGAGAAAATTCTCATCGACCCATAAGTGAAAACCTCCCACCCCCTATGCTCTCCTTACTGAGCAAGGTAGGCATATTAATCACGTTCACAAATACGAAATTACGAGCAAAACATGTTTTTTTTTGTGAAAAAGAGACATATTATACCAATTGATATCTGCAAATTAGGTAAACAACAACAAAATCTTAATTAATATGCTCTGATGCATAGCAAGCTGTAACAAAAATCAAATAAAGACATTTATCATGTTATGATATGAACAGTAATTATATAAGTTTAAGCATATTTGCTTTAGCTGGCTTGTGATTAAAGCAATATTCAAATCATGTGAGTCCACTTTCTAGATCTAACCAGTACAGGTGTCATATGTTTTAACATAGTCATGCCTTTCGAAAGATCCTTTGGCCGTGTCAGACACTTTAACCACTTGGTCACCACTCCGTATTAAAGGATCTTACCAATTTTAGCAATGAAATAGTTATCTAATGCTAAATCTGTTGCCCACATACAGTTTAACACACACAAAAAAACGCGTGTTCTTTTGTGTAAACAAGTTCAACCAGCGACTACGAATTATTCCCAAAGTGGCAAATGGATAGCCAGTCAGCCAATTTGAGCAAAAACTGTAAACACTGGGAAGGTCCATTCTACTAGAATAAAATATTCTTAGCATTACATGAAGTTTTCTCAACAAGTCCGCATCAGCATAATGGTGAACCCCTCTCTCATCCACGTCTATACTGCCAATTTCAGCATTGTACATAACATTATTCTCAACGTTGTTATTGCGACCACCTCCAATAAAAACGTGTAGTGTATTCTTAAACAAAAGGAGCATATTAATTATTTTGAGGTTTATCTTCGGTCAGAAAAATACTTTTTTTACATGGTGTCTGTAGTTGTTTGAAAGGTATTTAGTTAAGATGTATTGTTCAAAGAGATAAGACAGCTGTCTTCGTTTTTTTACATATTGAAAAGGGAAAGAAGGCACTAGCTCAAAAGCAATTCTTACAAAAGTAAGGGATTGAAAATCGCTGATTTGGTTCGAATTTGTCTGTTCAAGTGGGCCATTCAGGTGGTAAATTGAAGTGTAACATCTTAAAAACCTTCTTGTACCGATTTTAAACGGTATTAAATGGTTAACACTATTACAGTACTTGTATAAATAATCAAAAGAAGTAGTAAAACACGTTTTAATGCGATAATGTTATATATTATAGTCATATAAATCCCAAATTATGCAAATACTATATCTTTATAAAATGTAACGTAGTATTGTGTGAGAGGTATGGACTAATGTACATAAATGCTAATTTTATTCCACAAGTTTGACTTATTATCAAATTCGATCTTGGTTTGATAATTGTTAGTAATATAAATGTATATGATCTTCAAGCATTGAAAAAAATGAAATAAAAAGGACACATTGAATCTATCAAGTATAAGCTTACATCATAGAATGAGTTGTACATTACACTGGTACCAGAGGTTTGTCCATCGAGCAGTACGGCTTCACACATACCACCAGGAACATGGCGTATAGTGTGATGTATGATATTGTAAGCTATTTTATTGCCTTGCTGGAAGGTAAATATATATTGTATCAATTAGAAACAAATTACATTGTGGGTTTTCTGGGTAATAATGTTGCAATCTGTTTGTTTGTCTATGCTTGACTACGAATAAATGTGATAAAAAGGCGACTTTAATCACGTTTCACCATTACTAAGTTGAACCTGCAAGTGCCATCTTTTATTACCGGTATAGAGTCAGGTCAGTATGCACATTTTTGGTGACAGTCTAACTTTGAGGATTTAACTTGACATCTATCTCCAAAATTGACTAAACGTCAAACAATGGAAGCTAAACAACGTCATTTAAGAGATACAAAAGATAAAGGATAGGATCCTTGTCGGACAAATATTGGTATCATATAAACAGATATAAAACTTACCCCTGAAGGTAAGATTTCTATTCTTGTATCATCAGGCAATTATACATATTATTTAAAATGTGATCAACGAATGTATATTATTATAAAATGAAATATATATTTTAGCAAATGTTATTTACTTACAAATGTCCAGTCATAGCCTGTCCGTATTGCGCCACATGATGACATATTCATGCATACGTGGTGAATCAAATTATGCTCCATGACCATGTCATTTCCCTTAAAAAATAAAGACAGAGCCAATATATTTTATTAAATTACATTCTGTGTGAACATGTACATTTTGTTTGACATTTTTCTTATTTTAGGTTATTGATATATCTTATCGTACAACATGATAAGTGTTATATCATTGAGTTAGATTCTTTATGTTGTTTATGGCCGGTATAGTATCCTTCAAGTGTACTTTATTGTAGACACTTATAAAGCGGTTCCGCACTTTTGTTTCTCAGACACAAGAATGAATTGACATACCAAAAACTGTATTGCTCCATGCTGCCCATCATAGATATGGTTGTTTGTAACTTGGTGCCCTACTCCAACTAACGTTATTGCGTAATTTCCTAGAGCTCCAACACGAGAAAATCGTGCAATCTCATTATTGTTAATAGTATTACCAGAAGCGTCTAGTTTATGTCTGTTTCCACCTGTCCAATATAAAACGTCTGTAGAAAATACTAGTAACGCATCATTTATGATAATAAAACATTACAAGAATAGAAAATTATAATGTATGCCATGAATCTACATTGTATATTCAATATTAACATGGCACATTTTGAGCACCGTTAAAGGCATATCACAAGGTAAGCCGTTGTCCCTTCAGATTTATTCACCAAAACATCAGAAATTATCCATAGAAAAGATAAAACAGACTTTGTGGACAGTTATTAAGATTGTCATTTATTGTTCAATATAATCTATAATAATATTTTATTTAAAAAAATGAAGCCAAAAAACAGCAAAAAAAAACCCAACAAAACACCCCCAACAAATCAAACAACAACACCTCAAAAACTCGTAAAAACAGAACAAGAACAAGAACAAAAACACCAACAACAAAAAAGCAACAACAAACAAACACAAAGTATCAACAAACAAACACAACATTTTAATGAAATAAAATATATCAAATATACTGAATACTTGTAATAAAATACTGAATACTTAAAAAAAAATAAACTTGTACCATACATCCATATTCCACCACATGTGTCATGTATGTAACATTTAGATATTTCACTATCCCTTGAATCTCCTGTTAGACTTACAGCACCAGCACCTGTATTAAAAAGTATCTATAAACAAGATTATTAATCCGCAAAAATATGTAAATTATTACAGAGAATTGATATGGGAAAGATGTCGAAAAGTTATACAAAGTCAAATAATCATGCTAATTAATGAACCCAGTATATTTAATACCAATTAATAAATCAGTACCCCTGTTTGACAATTAATGTTATTCTATTCTGTCACTAAGTATGAAAGTAATTGATATACCTGTATTTCTTATTTCCAGGTTAGAAAGTTGTACTCGTTTCGCATTTGGTGCCACAATTCCATTTCTACGACAAGCTTCGAGAGTGAAGTCAAGAAGTTGGACATCCTGTGTATGTCCTCTTATCCTTAAAAGTCAAGAAAACTTTGTTGAGCCTGACAGGAAGCGAACCCACGGGAAAAGCTCATTATAAATACAGTAAATGTACATTGAAAGTAAAATATAAATACAAAACCGTTGAAAGTTCTGTTGGATATTAGCCCGACTAAAAAAAAACTTTCCCTATCCTCTGCTCGTTCAGTTAATGCCTTGATATTGTCATATATACTTGCGAAATTATCACAGAAAATCACGAGAAACAAGAGTCCCAAGTCTCGAGCTGTTAAGTATAACAGATTAAAAAAATATTCTGAACATTTGTTCAACTTTCTACTTTGATTATTCAGATCCCAATTCCAACAACCTTTATTCCGAAGAAGTCTTACAATTACATAAGTGAGTGTAAAACAGGCATAGAATGTGCATCAGTACAAAAATATTCAATTAGCGTAGTGACAATTATTTTTAACTAAAGTTTCGTTTACAATTCTTATAGGAATTTCCTTGTTAATCATTCATATGAGATTCCGAAAGGAATAATACTTTGATGAAGTTGTTCATGATAATAAGGGAACTTAAAAATAGTCAAACTTACCCAATGCAATCGTTGATCATTGGAATATAAATAATGTCCGTTTCTTTGACATTTCCATCTTTATTTGGCAGCCAAAAATATAGTTTTCCACTGTCCCTATCCATATAGTACTCTCCCTTAAAGAAATTACGAGTTTTGCATGAATTGATTTTAAAAGGAAAACTCTGCAACAGATAATAAATTACTACGCAGAGTCTAATTGAAATTCGAGATTTTGCTCGTCTTTGAATACTGTTTCAATGAAATCAATCCATCCATCCATTCCAAAACATTTGTGTTTTTTATTTAAGTGGTACGAATGTGTCCATAATATCATCTCTGTATAGAATATTATCTCTTATTTTAATTATTATTTCAGTTTAAAGAGTAGAAATTAAAAAAAATTATCCGATTGGAAGTATTCAAAGTAGGATATTATTCAATGGAAATCTATTTTATGGACTTTTTTAAAACTTTTTTTATTATTGTTTTTCAATTTTTGTTTCAAACGTGTCAATGTATGAACGGCTATGAAAACAATTTGTTTTGTTTATGATAAACAGGTTTTTATTCACCTTTATGATGTCTGAACTCAATTTTAGAACTTATTTAAAATCTATAACGTCAATGTACTGTATCAGAATTCAGTTTATAATCAAACCATTGTTTTTTTTGTTTTTCATCAAAATTTTTCAAATATTTTACCGGTTCATCCAGGGCTCCTAAAATGTTAATAAAATGAAAATAACCCCCTTCTATATTTGACACGCCATCCCGGAACTGCTGCAGGTGACCTGGTAAAGAATTGAGAGTAAAACTGAAAATTTATTAAATTGGCAATGTAGAATCTGTACGTTTATATTTAACTTAAACTCATATCCGATAACAAAAACAAATATAATGTTTATTAAAATGATATTCAATCTAACTGATGACGCTGATTGAATTAAAATGCAACCAACGCAACAATATCCATATGTTTTTAGAGTTAGTTCTGACTTGTCTAAAGTCCTCATAGTACAACATATATAGGAGCGATGTTCGAAATGTATTGCTTATTTCTATCAAATTTCAAGTAAGCTCAAAAGTGTTCATTTCATACCCCCGAAGTACTCCCCGTATCTAGAAATGCAAAGTTTCAGCCGATGTATCCACTTCATGAAGGCGTCACGGTACGCTGATTTGGGCACAGTAATAAGGTACTGATGAAAGGCAGATCCAAGTGCCTGTCGGGACTTGTATTTCCACCCAGTAAGGAAGGATTTCAAATTCGGAAACAAAAAGAAATCATATGGGGCAAGGCCTGGAGAATACGGGGGGGGGGGGGGGTGGTAAGGCAAAACAGTTACTTTTTCTTTTTTCAAAAACGCCGAAACTATTGCGGAGGTATGAGCGGGGGCATTGTCATGTAGAAGACGGATATGCTTAAAACCAGTGACAGGGCGTCGTTTCTTATAATACTTTTTCAGTTTCTTAAGTACTACGTCTTTGTAGTACTTCCCAGTGATACTTTTGCCCTTTTTCACCGGCACTTTTATTGCGACTCCTTCACCAGAGAAGAAAATTGCATACAAAACCTTCTTTGCACTCAAAGACCGTTTGGCAATTATTGGGCGTTTGTTGTGTTTAGTGGCCCAGATTTTGTTGCTAACTTTTCTGACGGGCTCAAAATAATGGACCCAAGTTTCATCACCTGTGACGACATTGGCAAACTGTTTTTTGTCATATTTTGGAAACATTTGAAGCAGCTTTTTGGCCACCTTAACCCGTTGCCTCTTTTGCTCATCGGTCAACAGATGTAGCACCCATCTAGCAGAAATCTTTCTGAATTTCAAATGCTTCTTCAAAATAAAGTGAACAATTGATAGTGATATGCCTACCTTTTCGTGCAATATCACGAACTGTAAATCTGGCATCTGCTTTAATGATATCCCTTTTTTTGGAAACGATTTCGTTACGAGATGCAGATTTTGGCCTACCTGATTTTGGTGCATTTTTGATACACTCTACACCAGACTCAAATGTTTTTTTCCATCGTCTAACTGTGTCATAAGACACACAAGAAGGCCCATAATCAGTAGAGAGTTCGGTCATCAACTGCTTCAAAGAGCAACCCAGTTTTGAGCGAGCTTTGATGTAAGCCCGTATTTCATCTTTTTTGTCGACGCTTCTACCTATCATTTTTCCTATAGTGGTCAATGACTGCGTGTATTTAAATGGCAAATTGTATGTCTTACACTTAGTTTTACATGTACATTTACACACCGTTGGGTAGGTATTTAATTACCCTATACAGGTATGTATTGGTTTTTATCGTGTCCCACGTGGATCACAAGATAGAGGACAATAAACAATTCTTTTCGAACAGTTCTCGTATGTTAATTGAAGATGAAATATAGTCTGTTTCAAAGGAATGCATGCTTCAAGCGAATTTAATAGGTACAATATACATTTAACTGACCTTTGCGTAGACCTTGTGGTGCTTTTTGAGTCAAAGTTACTGTTTTTGTTGCTGGGTCTATAGAATTTATTTTGATAGCATTATCACCCCATCCAGTAAACCTAAGGAAAGTAGGAATGGTCCATTAAGATGACAAATCGCAGATTTTAATAATATGCAAAGTATATTGACTTTAGAAATTCTTCGATTAACGCGAAATTTTGAGAAATGCGATTTTGACTTATCGAGAGTCAACTGTAGTTAAATTGCCAAAAAGAAAGATGATCAATGTGCAACAGCAACTGCCCAATGTAAATACAATCCAAATAAGATCTACCTTACTTGTATATGAATGAATAGTGAGAAGGAAATATAATCTGCTTGAGGCATGTCTTTGTAAAATATTTACGTAACCTGTAACCCTTTATAGTTACAAAATTCATTGATTCGTTCAGACGATCATACTGAACTGTCAATATTTTACAGTGTTTGATTTGGTAGGTATAAATAGAATAAGAATAAATGCAGAATGTGAAAAAGTGTATAAATACCAAAATCCATACGCCCATGGATCACTCTCTTTAAGCCAAGATTGAGGTATGTCTGAAGAGGAGTTGAATCTGTACTTCAAACCATTTTTACCATCAGGTACATCCGAAATGTCAATATATCCCTATGTACATGAAAAAGCTTTTAAATAAAACAAGTTGAAATGATTTGTGATTGTGTATGAATATACAACCTGTTTGTGTTAATATGATAATTACAAAGTGAGCGTTCATCTTATTATTCGAGTCATAAAATTGAATAATTACTAGGCATTTATAATAATTATGGAAATAGATATTTTCCTGAAAAAATACTGAGGTAACCATCTAGTTTTTTTCAGAACATCATTCATTTAGTAAAGGCGTTTCAAAAGAAACACGATTTTTTCGAATAAAAACAATTACTTGATTTGGCCATTTTGCTAACTGTAATGGCTGTCCGTTATAGAAAACTTCAAGCGGTGAATTTCGGTGAACATTTAAGCCGTATGGTTCCATCTTCCCAAAATCAGAAATGCCTAAGTCGTGAAGATTTACTTCTCGAACCTAAAGTAAAAAAGGGAAGCAAAACTACAGTTAAAATGATTACAAATAGTCATTGCTTTGCTATAACGTTTATAGATATCAATTAAAGAATCAGAACAAAAAGCACAAAACAATCTTCTTGCGTAAATAGTAATACTCAGGATACAAATCATGATTATTATAGAAGGGTACAGGTACATTTTATGATATGATTGTTCCGGAGAGTTGTAAATAACCAAAATGCTCAGAAAATTGTAACTGAGTATGATAGTTCGACTTTAAAACGTTTTACAACCAACAGAATCACATATAATCGATTCACTTACATGAGTTCGTGCAGTTGCTGTCAATCTTGATAAGATTGAAGAGTCGGATACAGGCTTAACAAATGTACTTGGAATACGTTTTCCTCCTGTCTATTTAAGAAAGAACTATAAACATTTTTACATACTACATGCATCAAATGATTTTGGAATACAAGATTTTGTAAAAGCAATGTTCGATAATATTTATTCAAAAGTATCTATATATCTACGTTTTTGTTTGGTTTGATTTACTCTGTTACATAGGCACTGTTAAGGGCATATGATAACTATCAAGCTTTATTTGTAAAGGAAGACCTCTCGGTAACCCTCCATGCATTATTTCAGACTGGAAGGTTATATGAGAAGAACCACTGGCCTTCCGTAAAGTACGTGTAAAAGAATCAAAAGGCCCCAACTTCAACCCAAAGAGGCAAAGGGCTAGTGACACAAATACAGTGCAAAGTTATGGTATTGAAAAACAATGAAGTATAAAGGAATTACAAAGTATGAAAAATCTAAATAAATAGTTTTTACAGACACAAAAACCTAAAACTACGTGTAACTTTAGATCACATGCAAATACTAAGAGTATAGATTAAGACAACCTATTATGCTGTTGTTAAGGTACTATAAAATGCCTACCACATGCACTTCTTGGTGATTATAAGACCGTATAGTTGTGTTGTGTCTTGCTATAACCAGCGTTCGAGGAAGGTCATAATACCCGTGCATCAGCTCAATAAATACCGCTATGGTTGGAAAACAAAATTACTATATATACGTCCCTTTAGGTATAAACTATACCTAGCTAGCTTTATATCAAAATGCAATAAAATATGTTTCATATGATATTTTTATATTTAATGAACTTGATAGCAGCTCCTATATCAAAATTTAAGGGAACACATTATCAACACTGCGTGTCCAATCAAATTTGAAATCTGATTTGACTCAAGTTTTAATTTAAGGCATGACTAAATGGTTTTGATCAATCACATCTTCTCTGATTAACCCTTAAAGTGCTGAACTTGCGTAATGGTTTAAATATGGAACAATACATACACAGTTACAGGAGAGGATTTCAATATCATACAGAAATTAGGCAACCGACAATTTACAGCCTGTTCAGATTGCATGGATGCATGTCTGGCCTTGCTCTTTATCGAATATCAAAGGCTACTCACTTTTCGTTTCAGCAAAGTCAAAGGTTAAAGAGATATCAATATTCTGAACGCATTCTGAGCACTTTTAATTAAGTTTCAACCAGTGTTTAATAAATTTAACATGTAAATAAGTAATCGGATTTCAAACTTGCAGAAAGGAATCTGTTTGATATTGAAATTGTATCTGTCGCAGGCGTAAATATGTTTTATGCAATTAAAAAAGGAAACAATCATTCAAAACAAAGTTTGACATGCAAACAATTTTGATCAAGTTTATTCAACCAATTCTCTGCTTGTAAATCAAAAGTTTCGGGTTGTGTTTTTTAGCTATGCTATACACTTATAAACATAAGTTGAGAAGAAAAATAATCTAAGAAAAATATAGGGTGATATATTGTTGATGATAACTCACAGTTGCCTTTGTATCTGGCCTGTCCAGCTATTGAAAATGCTTTGTATATCGTTTGAACTGGCAATTTATCAGAATGCCTGGGGAAAAGAAATGAAAGTCACATAAATAAACTGACTATTCCGTAGTTTATCTTGATTTTCAACATGGATTGATGATCAAGTGTATCATTGCAAATAAAAAATATGATTGAAAGTAAAATACTTCTACTAGATGTTTTCGTTACATATTCAAATTAGAGATACTGTTACCTGGAAACGATATTGAAAAGTGTGTAAGATATAATTATACGTGTATATCTATTCAGTACTTTTTAAACATAAACATAATTCAAGTTAAGTACTAAATAAGATTATTTCATTACTGAAATTTTTCAATATACGCATATGAAGCAAATAAAAAAAATAAGTTACAGAAATAAAATTATGTCAGAAAGATAATCATTTATAAAAAAATATTGTTACCCATCATTATGGTCCGATCCTTGCGGACTGACATAAATATGAACATCACAAGTTGATGGGCGACACTGTAGAAACAACCAAAACAGCACCCATTGCACGCCTATCCACATATCTCTACACAAGAAATAATACTGTTTGGTCATATTTGTTTACGAAGCTCGTCAATTTAACTAATAACATCGAAATACGAGGTTATCTGATTTCTTTTGTATCATAGGTAAAAATAAAAACACGTCCCTTGTCGTTCCAATATTAAACCCCAGAAAAAATAACCATTGAAAGAGCATCTGAATATGACATTTCTATCGTTATCTCTTTCCCTGTCTTCGCAATAAGTAAACCACCCAAAAAATCAACGAGCATGCTCTAAACAGATAGTAAGTGGATGTAGCTTAAAACGTGCGATCCAGTTAACGCATTGTGCATGTATTGGTACACGATTTAACTTCGACACATTTTCAATAGTAAAGTCTCCAAACTATAATACAACTTATCAGGGTTGTGAGACAGTAGTTGACAGATCTGTGGCTGCATAAAAAAGTTTATATGTAGGTTTTTACCTTGTGGACGGTACTTTGACTACGCCCATAATTGGCTTATTTACACTTTGTCTTTATTTTCTTGACTTCCTTTTATACATAATGTTTTTGTCTGATTTCTATGCAACAAAATAACTGATATTTCTTATGTATATTTATTATTTATAATAAATAATCAAATCGTTCTACAGTAAAATTAGTACTTACATAAATTTATGGTGTGAGTGGAATGTGAGAAAGTTGAGTTTGGTGCTAGTTTTAAGATAGATTAGAGGATCACATTATGGGCTATATTTAACTACTATGATTTCATCTGAAAGATAAGACTAGGCGATTTTAAGTACATCAGATAATAATTAGTAATTGACACATAATGCTATTATTAGATTTATCGACTAAGGTAATTGATAGTATATAATTGAATTTGCAATGATATACTCTATAAAGATTATATTGAATAAGAGCAGCTTTTATTTAGCGGATTTATTGAACGAGTTATTTAAAATTATACTACTCGAGTCTCTAGACATTGTTGGATACCCATGGCTGAGTAACATGTAAGTGTCGGTCATGGGTATCCAACGATGGTCTCTAACGAACACACTATTACATTCTACGAGTCTAATAAAACCGACAGGAATAAAAATCATTTGTTAAATAAATAACTACTGTACAGCATAATGGTTGAGAGGAAACAAAATAAACAAAATAAAAACAATCCATTTCTTTTAATCTTCAAGTTTTAATTCATGTGCACATAGAATGGAGAAGGCCGTCTACGGAAATGTTTTGCTTGCAGTTGTAGGTCTATAAGTTGCTTTTACAGGGTATTTGGCATCTGATCCACAATAGTCCCAGTAATATTCCGCCTGATTGTGGCAGGCAAACTCGCTATAATCTGCAATACAGAAATTGTTATCTCATGTAAACCATGAATTGATTCTGTGAAATGATTAGTGAATAACAGCACAAATGTTGAATAGTATATGAATTAGTTTATTTCATGTGTATCAAATTTATATATTTAGTCAAGACTAGAAGTGATATTTGGAGTTTTGGTTGGGGCTTAAGACAACAGAACAAAGTTCACGTCATATTGCGAATTTCAAACTCCACTGGTTGAAGAAGAACCCAATTCGAAGGCGGAGGGATATTTGACGTTGTCCGTCCAGCTGTTTATCCATTTCATCAGTCTTGACAAACATCCTATAATTTATTTTGGTTTATGTTTAAATAAAATGCCACAAATGGTTAAAAGAAAAAGCCCATAAACTAAAATGTTGGAACATCCGTATGCCGTCATATATTCCTTAACCTTAACCACAGGAGTCAATATCATCAATGCTATATTTCTGTTGTGTTCACGCTAAAATATCACGTGACCGAATGATCGACAATGGATGGGCCGCCTCAAAAAATTGATCTGACTCTTTTTCAGGGGTGACTCAAAAACATATATCTACGTTAAATATCCAATAATTCCTACCTGTTTGGAAGTTCGTTGAACCAAATGCGTCATAGAATGTGACTTTTGTGTTTGGGTGGGCTGGACAGTGTTTAACTGTTATCCAACATCCACCACCCGCTGTTCTCTTAGCACCTACATTTATAAACTAAATATTAATTCAACTACATACAAAATAGAGAGAAATAAAGAATCTAATAATACATTAGCATTCTCCATTCATGTTTAAATGAAAACACAGTATAAAATAAACAAACACAGTATTTTCATCCATACCCCTAGTAAGACATGTTGATGATTTTAACTATGTTGCGCAGTGTTCAAAAGTGATTGCATAAAGATAATTTTATCAAATTTTAGTTTATATATTGACGATTCTTTGAATCTACAAATACAAAGTTTACCTGTTGGAAGGTATATGTAAGTTATTGGGTATTTGGGATTCGACCCACAATAACGCCAATAACCTAGAGCATGTCCAAGGCAACTTTTTTCTGAATGGAAACCATTATCGTTCTGATACGCTCCTAGGGTTGTATTGCCATGAACACCAATTGGACCTCCGTGTTTCGGACAGCCGTATGTAGCTCTCATACAACCAGACCCGCCTAATGTTGCTGCACCTGATTGTTTTTTGTAACATATACGTGGTTAACCTCTTTTTTGACTGTTTTTGTAACATATACATGGTAAACCTCATTATTTTGACCGCTTTTGTAACATATATGTGAGTAAAATAGAGAAAAACAGAATCCCTAAAGAAAGTCTAACACAATAAAATTGAAAATGTTGCTGGCTCGGTTTGATTGAGCCTGTTCATGGACGGTACTGGAAAGTGCAAGGTACCGTCCACGCCCCCTAGCACCGGCTTAAGCAGAATTCAACATTTTACACGAAAATGGTGACATTTTAAATTTAGAAACATCCGCAGATGTGTTCATACGGCGGTTATCATGGAACCTTCAATGTGACACAGTAGTGTCATTCCATGAAAAGCGTCGTATGGTCCCCAAGTAACAGAATGCTTTTGCCCTAAACGAGAAAACAACGGGCGGAACTAAATAAAATGGAATTTTGAAAAGGGATCTGAGGTTATGAAGCCTGCATATCACATATAAGACGTCATAAGACAAATTTAAAAAGCAGGCAACATATCCTAAGGGTGATTATACAGTATTCATGTAGGAATACTGGAACCACTCAAGTTGAAAATGGCCAAATAGAATAACATGTATTCACAACAATAATATTGTGCTTAACGATCTTCAAGGATCGAAAATATAACATCATTGATTAAATGTACGGGGAGTAACCCTGAGTATTTGACTGTTTGTGTAACATATATGTGGTTAACGTTATTTATTTAAAAACTCAGAATTCTTTTTACATCCATATAGATCACCTAACTATACCCTTACTTCTTCAATAACGAGGTAGAAATATTCGGTGAAAGTAGGTAATACTCCCAATTTTTAAAATTTGCTGACCACATTGAAACGTCATATGGATCAAGAAGGATTAGTAATTTCCTAAAACTTTTATTTTGTTTTGTTTACTTAAATTTGATATACTATTGCTATTTTGTTCACTCATACATAATCTTAATCTTTCAGCTTTGAAATTTAAGTTCCAAACCAATGTTAGATGTACAAATGTAATAAAGAACAACATCGACAACACTTCCTGCAAAAAACAACAACAAAACAGCAAACAAATCGCAAACAGATGATGCGGTAAACAATTTGCAATAATTAAAATGTACATGGCTCAGTTGCAATATCAAAATTAAACTGAAAATTAACAATTATACAGGTAAGATTTTTGAATCTGTTTGAATCAAAAACTTAAATTAATATATACATTGGAGAAGATGTTAGATATAGTTAAAACCGGTATATGTACCTGTTGGCCCATATATTGCTACGACTGTCTCGTCTCTATGGGAACCACAAAAGTGCCATTGTTCTATTGCCCGTCGGAAGCACATCGTCTCATTGTCAGCAGCGTGTCGGTATCTTTCCCCATACATGTCTCTGTACGTCCCGACGGAGGCAGTATGATGTCTACACTTTGTGATATTTAACCAACAACCTATAACAGGATTCTAAACTTTCTTTAATATGTAAATGTACACCTCTTACATGCTATACAAACTTGAATAGCCTACTTAATTACGGCAAAATAGTGTAAAATATTTGTACTATCTCTCAAACAAATGCTATGATAACAAATATGCATCATATTAAACTTACAAAAGTATCTTCTATTAAACCTGTAGGAACATTGATCTTGGAGTTTATACCAACCAAAACAATCAATCGCAAAGGAAAACGCATACTTATTTGAAGACTTTTTCCTGTTCATATTTGTTTTAAATGAAAACTACAATGTATATAGAAACATGACAATCTTAAAATCTGGTTTATGTACTCTGAAGAGAATGCATGACATACCAATATGTTCCACAGGATACAGGTCATAATTTCCAGAGGCGTCTGGGAGATATGGCGCTCGTGGGGGATTTTTGTTTGGAACTTGTGTTGTACATGGGTTGCTCGGATATGTTGTATTTACCAAGTGTACACGCCCTTTTAAAATGTGTATGAACATGACTGTGTGTTAACTTACGATTTGCAGTAATAAATTTATTTTAAGGATAAAATATCAAGTATAAAGAAGTTGTCATATAGTTTTAAAAAGTGAATGCAGTTGATTATGTGTGTTTCTGTTTGTTTCAGGTGACAATAAGGAAAGCAAAATACAAATAAACAATAATTCAAAAATCTTAATCATGTTATCTTTACAAATGTTTATATTAAAGAATTATCCTTTTCATGTATCATTTTCTTTTTAAGCAATTCAAGAATACAATGTTATCACTGTAGTTTGTAATGTTCGAATGAGAAATGACCGTGACGGAAGCAAATGCAATGATCTTTGAACCAAGTTTCCCTCTTAGCGATATTATAAAGAAACTAGTTTCAATCTAGACAATATTGATTCATTTGTGCAAAGTTGAACGGCAACATATTGTTGTGCTGTATATAAACTTGATTATTAATCTATGATTGCATGATTTTTGCAACCTGCCTTTTACTCGAAAAATACACCAAGAGCCTCAACATCAACGGCGTAACATAACCAACAACAAAAAACAGCAAAAACAATACGTTTAGATGGAAGGAAAATATGCATCATACAATGATACAGTGTAATCTGTAATGCGTTTCTTAGCATTACGCGGTCATGTCGACTTAAAAAAAGTCACATATCAACGAACAATTATCATAATAACCCTAATGTTATTTCATGATTAAAGGAGACTTTGATATAAAGATTATCATTCTAGCGAATAAATTCACATTTTAACTGGTATCTGGTGCTCACCTCTATGTATGTACATAGGCCCAATCGGAGATACATAAGGTCCAACCGAGTTAGGGGATGAAGGCTGTATGAAATGTACACGGTTTGCCCTCGGCAACAACGAGCAGCGGACACGTAAGTCACCGTCTTTCACACTAAAATGATCCGCACTACCCGTAGACTGAAATAATACTATGCACGTAAGTTTTGTTTTTTTGCAGAATTCAAATGTCCTTATACATTAAAATAGAGGAAATAAGAATCCCTAAAATTAGTCCAAAACAACACAATTGAAAATGTTGCAGGCTCGGTTTGATTTAGCCTGTTCATGGACGGTTCTGTCAAGTGAAAACTACCATCCACGCCCCCAGCACCGGCTTAAGCAGAATTCAACATTTAAACATGAAAATGGTAAACATTTTGATTTAGAAACATCTGCAGATGTGTTCATACGGCGGTTATCATAAAAACTTCAATGAAAAGCGGCATATGGTTCCCAGTAATAGATAGCGTGTGCCTAAACGAGAAAGCAATGGGTGAAACTGAACAAATTGTAATTTATTTGAGAGGGGATACACACAACGGACATGTTCCCAAACAATCCGTAAAATCTTTATCAACACGCATCAGAATGATCAAATAACAATTTACACTTGATTTCTGTTATACAGAATAATGTTTAACTATTTATTCTAAATCCAAATTACATCAAAGAAACTCTAACGTCATGATAAAATAATATCATCTTTTACCAAAACGTTTGAAAATATCATCCGGACTCTTTTTTCGTTAGCGGCATTGTATATGTCAAAACAGCGGTTGGATAATACTTTTGGTATAGGGTACCATATGAAAATGAACATCCTTTCCAAGATGTATCGTATACATTGTTTATTTTGGGATAAATGAAACGTTTCAGTACTTATTATAATTGGACAAATTGTATTCCAATATTCCAGTAAAAAATATACAATATTATAGACTTTTCAATACTTACAAATATGGTTTGGGTGATATTGAAGTATTTTGGCGTATTGTGGGATAAAAATCTAGTTAACCCATGTATGTATTCTGTGTGTTCTCTTGCATACATCACATTTCTGCTGATCTGATTCCCTTTTATACAAACAGTGAATATTAATATGAAATATTGAATTAATAACCCCGAAAAATTTAAACATTTTTCTATATATCTTTTATTAACATTTTTCGGTCGTTTGCTGTTTGTTTTTTACTTGACTTCCGGTAAATGTAAGACTATTTGTCATCATCTTTTCCGGTATTAACCGGGTATACAATCCATGTGCTTTGTTTTAACTAATCAGCAACAACTTAAAGCATATTAAAAGAATATTCTTGTTCATATATACCATGTTTGATAAATTAGTTTTGATAGTAGCAATGCGTTTAGTATTAACAAATTTAAGTATTGATGACTGTACTTTCGGAATTAAGAATATGAAATAGTAACCATCAAAATGTACCTTCAGGCAAACTAGCATTTTTGGAAAGAATATTTGCCAATTTTGGATATCTGAGGCTCCACAAAGAACTGTTATATGGCATTGCCTGTGAATGTAAGATGTAAAATATTAGTTACAGCTGTGAAGTTTAAGATGTCTTTGTTACAGGCATCATAATAAGATAATATAAAATTCTGTTTATAAATATATGCAAGTAATAATAAGCATAATATTACACTTTATTTCTTGTATGAAATTGCAAAAACAAAGAGAAATAGAGTCCCAAAAACGAACATCTGAAAACAGCTAAATTGAAATTTTGCAGGCTTGGTTTGAGAATATCTGCTCATTGCTCATCATCAATATTTTCAAACTGAAAAATATCTTTCATACATTCGGACAGGTATATAATTCGGATAATTATTATTTGTTATTTTTTGAGTGAAATCTTTTATGTTATCATCAAAACCATTGTCTTAGAAATCTACTATGTTTGAATGTATGCATCCGAATTCATCAAATCTGAATTTGAATATTTGTATTTAATTATGCATTGTGCTTCCCAGTCAAGTATTGACCTATATCTAGGAAATGCTCTTTTTCAAAGGACTATCAAAATTGAACGCACGATTGTAAAACCCTATTGCATGATCACGTAAATATCATGATATACTTACATCCAATCTCTTATGAAGGTCCGGGTCTCCATGGTGATTAAGACCGCGATAATCAACGTATATGCTACGAATTTCAGCATTATACATCACATTATTGACGATCTCATTATCGCGACCACCTCCGATGAAAATGTCCTCCGTGTTCTGTTACAAATATCTTAATTTGTTTTATAAAAAAAATAAATATTTTTCGTCTTCACACTTATACAACTTAATTTGTGCAATATAATTACCTTTCTCTTATATCAACAGAGCAATTGTAGTTATTCCAGTATCAAAAAGTTCTTCATAAGCGTTGAATAGTATAGTCCGCAGTTAGGTTGCGAGTACTGGTTGCGAAGTAAGTCGTAATTATGGATTACGTTCTATATATTTTGTATCATATTCAATTAATTTGTGTCCTTTATGTGTCCGTTATGTTGTACCTCTTGTTCATGAAACGTCATACTTTTTAAACATCACACTGCTTGCTAAAGACACATTTCATTAATTTTTAATGTAATTGATAAATGTAAATGACAAGATATAATTTTAATGTAGAATAATTACATTGTAAAAGGAATTATACATAACACTTGTTCCCGATACTTGTTGATCAAGACGAACTGCTTGGCATGTTAAGCCCGGAATAAGACGTAATACGTCATGCACAATGTTGCGATGTATTGTATTACCACGCTGAAAGATAAATGTTAGATATTAACTACCAATCTGTCAATAAAAAAGAGCAGAAACATAAACTATTGATGCAAATACATTTCATAACCTCTGAACTTCCAAAAACTACCACTACTACAACTACCACCACTACCACAATAACAACTTTGACTTCTATCACTACTTCGAATATCACTATCATCGCAATCACCATGGCCTATGCCTCATTCTTGTGCCACTGCATCCTACACTGACGATTAAAAATATAATGGTCATATCCTTTTAATAAAAGAAAATGATAATGCTAATAAAAGATGAAAAGAAAGATCGAGGAGAGCTACATTCACTAATCATAGCACAGCAACACAGGACCACCGGTAATATAAGGCACCCAACAGGGTAACAAATAATTAAGAAGGGCACGAAGCAAGAACAGGGCTTTCCCATAAGGTAACATACGTGTTTCTAACCACAAAACACCAGATCAAATATTTAAATACTTTTTACACTGGATCATCCAAAGTAGCAGTCGCACAAAAAGAAAATTTCAATGCAAACCACATACATATGTCCAGTCACCTCCGGACATTATAGCGCCACAACCTCCAGCATCCTTACAGACGTGGTGAATCAGATTGTTTTCAATGGCAATATCGTTTCCCTAGAAATAAAATTCATATATATTGTCACATTGATCTTTCAGTAAGAGATGTTGTGGATCAGTTCAGACTTTAAGACTTTTAACCTTTAAACATATATTTTTGAGTGTTTATTTGGTAACATCGTAAAATGGACAATCATGACACCTTAACGGTGTGTTCCGGAACTTTCAGGTCGATGCATAAAAACTAAATTAATTATCTATTAAAGACATGCATCTTAGCAAGAAATAAAAAAAGGTTAATGACCTTATGGTCATTTTCAGATCATTAAGCTGTCAATTAGAAAAATATTTCTACAACGTTTCAAAGACTTGGGTTTGTCTTTTATAAATCACTGAAATATCATATCCTATTTTGTCCGTTAGAGACTATTTAGTACTATCGACATAAATTACACATACTGAAAAATGAATGGCTCCGTACTTTCCATCATAGATATGATTTGTTTTAATTGTATGTCCTACTCCTGATACACTTATAGCATAGTTTCCAATTACTCCAACACGTGTAAATCGTGCTATCTCATTGTTTGTTATTATATTACCTGATGACTCGAGTTGTCGTCTGTTACCACCTAAAATATATTACATAAAAATTGAAAATAAAATAGATAATAGATAAACCATTGTATTGAATATATAAAACTTTACTTTTATCTTGGAGGAAATGCAAAATATATATGCTCAAAAATTTAAAACAAAATTGATAATCTGTTGAATAAAAAATGAAAAATACGAGCTCCACTCGTCTTTACACTGGCTTAAGCAGAATAAAAATTTAAACTGTTTGACGCTGCGTTATTGTAAAAGACGACACATTGGGTTCTCTTTTCGTTTTCGTATGCAAGTAAGAAATTCAATATTAGGCAAAATGAAACCGAAACGCAAGGGCTTCTGCGATTGAAGCAAACGGTCAATAGTTTCGGTTACAAATATAAGCGTTTTCAAAACCATATGATATTTGCGTTTAAAAGCTTAGATCCATGTCTTTTGTGACACGTAATTGTTTGTATATACATAGTAAATGATTCGTAATACTTATAATGTGGAAATGAAACAATGAAAAAGGCAATGCAAACACCTTAAATGAGAAATGAAATTGATCATCATTCTTAAAACAAAATTACAGTCGACTCCACTTATAACGAACTCGCTTATAACGAATTATCGTTAATAGCGACGACCTTAATTTGAATATATTTTATGCACTGTCTCTGGTAGGAGAATAACGTACCATTCATCAAAATTCCTCCACATGTATTCTGTATAAAGCACGATGAAATTTCATTTTCTCTGGAGTCGCCAGTAAAACTCATTGCTAAACCTCCTTTGATATGAAATGATAATGTCTTAATTATATTCTACTTTACTCAAACTTCTTAGAAGAGAGTTTTGTCTTACTCCTTGTACTAATATCTATTGATTTAGAAACATTAACTTGTATTTTGGCTGATGTTGTCATGCCAGGTATTAATTCTAAGCTCATTGGTACTATCAAATCATACACGATCATGCAAAAGTACTCGCTGATACCTGACCCGTCAAAATTGCATATAAGGTAACTGGTCAAACTTTTTGTTCTTGAATTAACCGTTGTTTCATTACATAAAATATAACTCCACCATCAGCTATAACAGTGGTAATACCAAACCATAAGTAGAGGCTTGTCTATTGCTAAACTGTATGGTAATCAGTTTTTAGAAATTTAATTTGAATTCATTTTCTTTAACCTATAGCCATTCTCAAGTCAAGCTATTTACCGTATACCGGAATCATGAAATGTAATTGTGCGGAATGTGTTCCGACGATGTCCGTAAAGCAAAATATAAAAAGAAACATTAAAAACATGTTGCAGTTAAATTGGTAAGTTAATGATATTATCATTTTGATATCAAGAAATTAAAAAAAATGTATTTACTTTGTTCTCAATTTTACCTGTGTTTCGTATTTGCATATTTAAAACCTTAACTTTATTCACATTCGGTGCATATATTCCGCTCCTTCTGCAAATTTCTAGTGTAAAATCCTGTAACTGCACATTCTGTTTATGTGATGGAATCCTAGAAACCAGATAAAAATCAACAGCTGATATACAAATCTTTGGTTTATACAGAAATTATTTTATTTCGATTGTGTAGGAAGCTATAAGCTTATAAACACACTTTCGAATCCGTTCCTGGAACCAACCAGTACTGAGCAATGAGTGTAAAGTTTCTTGCTCAGGGAAAACAACGACTTGCCCCTGACGGGGATTAAACCCATACGGCTAGCGATCATTAGATTACTAGTCCGACGCGTTAACCACTCGGCCATGTCGCCACTTTCAAATCTTTAAAAGATGGAATCCTAGAAACCAGATAAAAATCAACAGCTGATATAAAAATCTTGAAACGAGGGGAACCAAGAAGAGGATATCAGATCTCCCCAAAGGGGAACTCCCAAAACACAAAATTCATTCTCAAAAAGGATCCCCAAAGCAAAGATAGAAATCATTCCCAAAAAGGATATCCCCAAAGAAGAAATCGCCAGGGTTCTTTCACAAAAGGAGATCCCCAAAGAGGAAAGAACATGAATTGAGTCTAACGAGATATAATGGGAACTGCATCAAATTGAACATGTAAAAACTTTAACAACACATTAAATCAAATCACGATTAAAAATAATGACTGTAAACCTCAGAATAAATATCGGAACCTTTAAACATACAACTTATAATTTCTGACTTATATTTTTCTTGAAATGGGTGGTAAATTTATTAAATACAAATGAAACGTTTTCGTGTGATATATGAAAAAAATTCTCCGAAAAGTAGCAACAAAATGGAAAAATATTAAGAAGTAAATTTAAAGACAGAAGATACGCTGAAATACACAAAATGAAAGGACCATGATTTGTTGTTATAATTTGAAATGAAGAGCAGTTATACTAACACTATACAGTCGTTAAGAATAGACACATATATGACATCTGTGGCCGCAACATTCCCATTTTGATTTGGTGGAATAAAATACAGTTTCCCATTTTCTCTGTCCATATAATATTCTCCCTGAAAAGAAAAAGATTCCGTGTGAAAATTTGCTAAAATTTACTTTAGTCCTTCGATGAATAATAAAATAATACGGTTCGTATTCTACCATTAAAACTGTCCACAATATGGATATCATATGAAAGGCTATAATTTATTTAAATGTAAAAAGTGTCATTATACGGTAAAAGAAATGGAAAATTGCCTATTTAAAATAAATCAAATCATGCTTTTTTCATTTAATTTGACAAGGACAATAATAAAAACGCGTCATAAAACTTTGTTCATTATAAACTAGTGTTTCATTAAACATAAGATAAATCTTTTTTCGGATAAATAAATTATATAAATAAAGAAGCAATGTACAGTAGTATCACATACCGGTTGGTCTAAAGCTCCTAGTATATTGATGAAGTAAAAGTAACCACCATCGTGATTAGAAACACCGTCTTGATATTCTTGCCAATGTCCTTAGGTTATAGTTAATGTGTATTATAGTGAGAATAGAACATACTTCTTTCATATACGATTCTTCTTGTAACATAAGTAAATATTATTTCAAAAACGATAAGATATTCTACATTATGGCAATTTTAAATCTTATGTTATATTTCTTTAATATTCATTCAGAAATAAAAAGATACGATCTGAAGTAAAAATATGTATGCACTGAACTAATAATATAGTAACATATAGATGGAAACAAAATGTCAAAATGTTGGTTACATCAGTTAAACGCACAACAATTTCTGGGAACGATCTTTATTTGTAAATCAAACAGATCGACGTTACTGTTTTGATTTTGAGGTGTATAAGTAAAAAAAAAGACATTCAATGCTTTTAAATGCATTTCTAATTTAAGAAACGTTATATGAAAAAGGCCCTTTAAGCAAAGAATACAAATCCCCGAGTCCTGTTTTTAAATCTCAATCCAATGTACTCACATACATTAAAAAAATGACATAATAGGACTTGATATCAAATGTTAATGCTTTTTGATTCATTGTTAGAATTCCAACTTGATGTTTTATGAACAAATAACATTTAAAACGACACTGCCTGCCAGCCGAACGTTCTAAAATATAAAACATATGTACGTAAACATCTTGCATTGGAACAAACAACCTTAATATTTCATTAGGAAGGATTTAAACTTTTTTATACTGTTAAAACCTATTTAATTGATTTACTCACCTTTGCGCATTCCACGAAAAGCATGCTTAGCCAGTGTAACAGTGTTTGTAGTAGAGTTAATTGATGTCACCTTTACTGATCTATCAGACCAACAATAATACCTTAAAATGTACAAACGATTAATGCTAAATACACCAAACTGATGACAGTCAAATATATTTCCCGTAATAGATATACAATACAATACATTTTATTTGCTTTAAACATTATAACAACGTTTCTAAAATAATATATAGACAGTTAACATAGTTAACAGCAACAATATGCAAACACAAAATGTTATCAAATATGTGTTAGCGGAGGGATATTTGTTATATGACAAAATATATAAATCTTGATTATGTTAAGGAAACTTTGCTTTTCATCAATTTAATTAATTTATTTTAAGTGGTTATTTAAAAAAGAGAAATGATAATTAAATTTTTTTAAGACAACCAGTTAATATCCTATCAGAGGTAAACCATATAACCCTTAATTAACAGCCCATAAATATAAGTTCCAATACTTGTAACTGTAGAACAATAGAAAGATCTCAAGTTTACCAGAAGCCGTACACCCAAGGATCACTCTCGTTATGCCAGAATTGCGGTACTGTAGAATTATAGCGAAATTTCAAACCATTTCTTCCATCAGGTACATCGACAATATCAATGTAACCCTAATATGAAAAGTTTTTAATTTAAACATTGCAGCTGAAATAAATTTGTTTCTAATTATAAAATTATGAAATCAATGACATATCTAGCGAAAATCTAAAAAAATAATTGATAAAATATTCGTAACTAAAAGACTGAATTGCAATGTTTATAAGATTTTTGCCAAGTATATTTCTGAAAAAGAATAGTTCTTATTAAATATTGACATACTTTATCGGGCCATCTAGCTACATGTAGAGGCTGTCCGTTAAATGTCATTTCTAGCGACGAATGTCTGTGCAAACCAGAGCCATATTCTTCAAAATGTCCAAAGTTTTTGATATTAAGATCATGTAGATTGACAACACGGACCTGAAACAAGAAGGATACAGCCGTTAACAAATACATTAGTGTATATATCGGGATAACACTATCCTTTTCTTTTAAGGTCGTTTGTGAGTGTATTTTGTAAACGCATGAATATAATAAATGCAAAATAAGTTATAGTCAAAAATGCAATTTCTTGTAAATCTGATTTGTTTTGTTCTGTCTAGTTCTTACTCCTATTTCAGCATATTGATCATGTTTTGGCGGTCGGTCTACCTAATTGGCGTTCTTGGATAACTATGAATAATCATTAATATGTAATACTTATTAATAACTACATTCGGATGGTGGTGTTAATTACCTGTGAAAAAGATAATGTACAAAAGTTACATATCTTAAACTGTTACATATCTTAAATAATAAAAACTGTTCATATAGTAACTTTGAAGGAACTTTAAAATGGATAATTTAAATTACAATAATCTTAAGCCTTTATTTTTCACAGTTTCTGTGTTTAAATTTTAAAATTTTCTACACGTAAATGAAACAACCTTTCTATGTGATAGTCACCGTTGTTATGACAATATTCTGTAACTATTTTCTTGCAATCTTATATCTTGCGCCTATTTAATTCCATGATTTTATATAAAATAAATACAATAACTTACATGTGCACGTGATTTAGCAGGCAATCTTGAAAGAATGTTACTGTCAGTCACGTGCTTAATTGCACTGGTAGGTATACGATGCCCGCCAGTCTGTTTCATTGAAATATACAAAATAAGTTGATATAACGATTCTGCATATGAAAGCATTGACAACATTAAAGATCCTGTATGTTGTAATTAAGGATGTAACATACAGTTAAATGAAGTTTTAAATATGTATACAATTATTCTTCTTGAACAATTTCCAAAATGCCAAGAATATGTTAAATATGTACAGCAAATGTTTATATACAATATATTTAAACGTTATAATTAATGCATTTATTTTCTATTGAAAAAATGGCTTTGATTCACCTGCCTTTATTAACATGAAATGCTAAAGTCGGTAATATCTTAAAAATAACGTTTTTTTTTAACTTACAAAATTAATAAATCTGCATTTGAGCATTAAATTTATGATATAAAACCATAAAAAATTGGGTTACATGTTCTTTAAAACAAGTAGCAAAATACAGATTCTGAAAGCTTTTATGTCAACGTAATCAAGTTGGATTTTTATATTTTTTTTTTTTTGGGGGGGGGGGGGGGGTTCTCTTACACTGGCACTGGGTAATCTTTATGCGACTTTTCATCGTCATTAGTGGAGAAATACTTCCGTTTGACCTGAGTACGTTATTTCAAACATGAGTGGGCATGAGTAGAGTACGTAGAACCACCAATACGGCACAAAATAGAGAAAAAACAGAATCCCTACAGAAGGCAAAAACGGCAAAAATTTATCTTGAATAGTTGTATGTTTATGGTAAATACATACCACGCGGACTTCCTGGTTTTTGTAAGATCGAACAATAGTATTGCTTCTTGACAGGTACAAAGTTCGCGTTAAATCATAGAAACCATGCATCAGCTCAATATATACAGCTAAAATAGAAATATAATTATGACTTTGCATGACAATAAAACAATACATTAAAACATCTTTTTCATTTAATTATTTTATATACGGAGTAAGTGCATCAAAATTTAGCTGTATGTATTTCAAACTACGGACTTTGTGCAGGTCAACTAGTACAATTTGTCACATTTGTTTTGTCTTTCTTAACATGTCAAAGGCAGTGTAAGTCCATAGTAAGAACTCATACGATACTTATTTTCTATAGAATTTTTCGTAATATCCGTAAAATTAATAGGCTATCGATTATGATATATCTTTAATATCTGGCCTGCTTGCAGCAACAAAACCTAGCCATGTGACCAGTAAACACAAGGCAATAAACACCAAGGTTTGTTTGTTTGGGTTTTACATCACACCGACACAGTATAGGTCATATGGCGACGTTTCAGCTTTACTGATGGAGGAAGACCTCAGGTGCCATTCCGTACATTATTTCAGGCACGAACGGGCACCTGAGTAGAACCACCGACGTTCCGTAAGGTAGCTCGAAAAACACCAAGGTCAGCTGTCATGTCTGTGCCGTCTGTTAATTGTCAATACTGCTCTATTTTTCAAAGAATATATTTTGAAATTTCCTTAAAATAGATAAATGGTTTTGTCCAGATTAATAGACGGACATGTTCATATATGATATTTAGCATGGCAATATGTAAAACAATATCAACAAGGAAGGGCGGCGTTCAATGAACGCACGTATACAGCCAACTTACTTTCATTGTTGTATTTGGACAGGGAGGCAACAGCTAAACCTTTTGGTATTGTCTTCACGGGAGTTGTATCCGTCAGACTGAAAAGAAAAACACAAAATAACAACATCATATTTGAATGTTACCTTGGTATAAATGAACTGCTATCAGGTTCTCTATTTTGTTTGGATTAATCGAAATTCTTGAGATCTTTTCTTTTATTGGTTCTTCCTTTTCTATGAACAGTTCTAAATTGTCTAAAATTGAAGACAGATTTAGTGATAAATATTTAGTGATATTGATAAATGTTTGGCTTTTTGTAAACAAGAAATATATGATATTATTGCTTTTTTATTCTTAAATAATTTTATTATCTAAGTCTGTCTCCAGTAAGAATTTGGTATGAATCGAACACTTCGTTTTGTATTGTACTGATCTTTTAAACATCAGAAATACGTTATTAACAAATTATAAGTCGTGTTGCATTTAAAATATGTTAAGAAAAATTGACAACGGTACACATTTGTTATCACAATTTATTACTGTTGACGCCTCGACTTTACTCATTGATGTCTAATTTCTTTAAAATTATTAACTGAAGCTTTAACTTCAAAGTGTATTGCACCTATTTTGTAACATTTTACTTGACGGGTGCTTAGGAAACTTGGATTTTAACATGCACGAAAAGTACTTTGCAAAGGTGTCTAGCTACTACAACCATTCCTAAAGAAATAAAGTAAGCACCATAGTTTATTTTCTTTTATTCGGTTTTACGGCGCACCAACACAATTTAGGTCATATAGCTCCGAAACTGGAAAGATGATTTCGGTTAACCTCGGGTGTTACAAACTAAAAGCAACACCAGGGATCAAAACCACCTCACCTGCTGGAGGTAAGAAACACATAGACTCCAGTATTTCGAACCTATTTACGATCACGCAGGTATAAAAGTTGCAATTCTAATGGATCAACTAGTAAAGGCAACCCCGCAGCCACAAGGGGAAAGTACCACAGGTATCGGTGATCAGTTCAACATTTCAATTTAAATGTGGGGCATCCGTTTACAATATGTGTCAGCAAGAAAAACTGACCTTTAACAAAAAAGACAATTTCATCATCAAATTTCATATTGAAATAACCACCCAGAGCATATAAATCTTATCAACGAAATAGTTTGCATTACAAGAACTGTCAAGCGACAGAGCTATCTGCAAAGAAAATAACTTCAAACAAACAAACACCCAAACCTAGCAGAAACAATGAAAAAAGACAATTTAAATGAATAATTGTTTTTTGGGAAAATGCAAAATTCTCTAATATTTCATGTTAGTCAATCTTTCTGATACAAAACCTGACATTACCTACGCAGTAAGACCTGCACCTAACCACATGAGGACGGTGAAAATGGACAGTCTAGTGAAATTGTTTCCTTATATGATATTTATGGAACATTTAAGTCATGTCTGTATATGTTAAAGTTGCAAAGAGTTATGAAACAAAGATACTCATTGAAATAAAGAAACATTTAGGGTGTCCATGGCCGAGTGCTTAATGTCGTTGACTTCAGAGATGTTATAAATTCTTATCCTTAAAGATCGATCAACACGACATTATTGTTGTGTGTGGCATTTTTTAGTTCTTACTATTTGGCCTTTTCTAGTTGGGTGGTTCCAATATTCCTACTTGATTAATGTTCAATCACCCGTAGGATATGTTGCCTGCTTTTTTCCTTTGTCTTTTGTCTTCTTATCTGTTATATGCAGGCTTCATAACCGCTGATCCCCTTTCAAATTTAATTTTGTTTAGTTCCACCCATTGTTTTCAGGTTTGGGACACACGCTTTCTTTTACTTGGGGACCATACGCCGCTTTTCATGGAATAGCACTTACGTGTCACATTGAAGATCTATGATAACCGCGGTATGAACATATCTGCGGATAATTTTAAATTCGAAATTTTCATATTTAAATGTTGAATATTCTGCTTAACCCGGTGCTAAGGGGGCTTGGACTGTAGTTTGCACTTGATAGTACCGCCCATTAACAGGCTCAATCAAACCGAGCCTGCAACATTTGCAATTTTGCCGTTTTGGACTTTCTTTAGGGATTTATTTTTTCGTTATTATTTCACATCACCTATACCTAACCACTGTGGGTTTGAATCTCATGAGGAAGCAATCAGCTAGCTTACAATACGTCGGTGGTTCAAATAACGTGCCCTCTCGCGCCTGAAATAATATACAGAGTGGTTGAGAGTTGTTCTTCTACCATTTTAAATCTATCTACCATCTTAAATCTAGAAAGCACACATGACCTTTACTATATTGGTGTGAATTAACACCCCACCATTAGAAATAAAATAAAATAAATATTAAATAAGAAAAATCAGTATCAAAGCATCTACTTACCCATCATGGCTATCTGACCCTCGTGGGCTTACAAAGACATGGACGTCACATTTTAATAACGGAGCTTGTATAGAGATGCAAACTACCAAAACAAATATGTCTTTAAACATATTTCTGAAATAAAAAAGCGCCAAAATATTAGTGTGTCTACAAATCAAATACATGTATGAAATTTTGTACGATATTTCACTTATTCAATCTGTAGTAGAACTATTATCATTTGACTTGTTGGGTTGACAATATTTTAAGAACATCCTTAAGAAATATACTCATGCTCATTTTTCTAGTGTTGAGCTGAATTGACAATATATTTCAAAAGAATGACTGCCTAAAATATAAAACAAATACTCTGTTACTAAATTGAACGGCCCGAAGAAATTTCCGATGGATATTTATAAAAATGCCCTTGGACCATGTGAGTAATTTATCGGTGAAGTCAAGTAAGTTATAAAATTGAAAGGAATTGTGGCAAAATGAAAGCTTATTTTGAATGTCGTCTGTTAACTCACTTAATATTCCTTGATGGGTATAATGTCAATTTAAAACAAATTCAAGTGTATACAATAAGACATTAAATACTGTGAGAAGTTGAAAACTTACGCTGGTTCATATCACTGACGACTCCTGCTTTGCAAACGGCAAGGACGATAGGTCATTATTTGTGTTATTGTTACGCTTAATTAACATACTGATAAGGTAAGTCTAATCGCCATTGTGAATTTAAAACCGAGTTATTTATGTCATACAACCGTTAATCAGTAGATTCGTTTATCTTGAATCAAGTTTAATACAAATTTAAATGGTTTTAATACAATAAGTCAGATATTAGCAACAATGTAATGAAATATGTAATCAATTAACATTCTTTATAAGATTGAATTTAACTGTTTATTCTAATTCGGAACATATTGATAAGACAAAATAACAAAACAAGTTAGCTTCTTTAAAAAAGAAGCATACGAGAGCTATTTTTCACTTTGTAAGATTTGTTTAATTGTTCAAATGACAGGTAAGTAAGAATTTCTAATTGGTCAAATTGCATCTGCAAACAGTAGCAATATAAGGCTATTTCCGTCAACCTCCAGATAAGCTCTAAATAGGAAAAATCGGAGAGGTGTTCCGAAGTTAAAGGAGCAGCAAACTTTCCGAACTCGATTCACTGGGTCATATAATATCATATTAATGCTTGGGATATTGTAGCTATAGTGTTTACTGATAACATGAAATAATAAAGCTATTCAGAAAACAACAGTTCAAAGGATAAAAACCACTGTATGTATAGTTGAGGTAAATGTAACGTGAATGATATTTCCCGATTTTTCCTTCCATCGATTTGTTCACTCACCTCGATGTTAATTTGCCGTTTAAGTAAAGTTGTATTTTGAAGCGGAGGATACACATAACAATTTTTGTACACTTGTTGTCATGTCTTTATATTTAAAAAAATCAAAACCCCATTTACGCTTAGCTGTAGAAGATTTAGTGCAGACACAGTTACAATAACATAATAAGAAATAACAGAAATATACCATTGAGTTTGATGGCGTCATGAAAGACACAGTCCATGGCGATAACCGGATGGAATTACAAAAACTCACTCAAACTTTGAATAAAACAAAGAATATAACATATGAATTATCCAATTTTCTTTAGCTCGCAACCAAATAATGACTTACATACTACTTATACTACTTATCTTTGACGAGCACATCAACGCAAGTCATTGGTGTACATACATATAATGATTACTTTAAACATATACGTCATAAATTTCTGTACTGGTACTTTGTTTCTATGCGGGAAAGACAAAAACACAGACTAGTAATAAGCTTTTAATTCTATTGTGTGAAAATTCGTCTATTTCAGTCAAATAAATGTAGCAAAATATTGCAATAACTACAGAGTAGGTGTCGACATTATGGATATGTTTGACTGTGTGTTGAGGGACGAAACGTTGCGGTGACTGGATAGTTAGGATCCGAACCACAGTTGTGCCAGTAATACTCGGCTCTGTGGAGGCAAGGAAACTCGCTTTCATCTGTATAGATATAAATATAAGATACAACGGTAAAATTTATTTCAGAATAAATAAGACAGATATATTGGAAGTATAATAAAATTTCATCAGCTGACTTCATTTTCAAAACATTTTTTTGTGCCAATGATTAAAGACTTTGACAAAAGACATAATTCTGTTTTAACTACATTTATAAAATATTATAAGGGCATAAATCTGTAACGGAATTCAATACAAAATATTGGACCAAAGTAAGTGTGATGTAATTAGAATATCATTTGATTGTTAACTTTGCTTCTCTTATTTTGAGGACGGAAAATATAAAAAACGGTACAAATATCATAATGTTTAAAGATATGTAAATTTCAAATGATATTGTATACATGTGAAATACCTGTATTATAATAAGTCGCCCCGTCGGCATCATAGAATATATTACTTTGTTGTGGATGTTTTGGACAGCTTTCTGTTGTTATCCAGCAACCACCACCAGCAGTTCGCTTGGCTCCTTTTCAAGAAAGAGTGTTATTAATGTAATACTTCCATGAAAGTTGAAAGTTGAAATTTAAAAACAAGTAGTGTTTCAGATAACAGGCATAGACACATAATTACAGGAAAATATGTGAAGTGTATTATTTACATTAAAATGTAAATTTGTATCAAATCTTTGTGGCAGAAGTTAAATAGGAATTCAAGAACAAAGCTTATTTCGGCCAAAAATGCATTTTTATTTAACTTTTTATAATTGTTACCGGTTGGCAGGTAAACCGTCGTTATGGGGTAATTTGTACTTGAACCGCAATATCTCCAAATTTGCACTGCCCTCTCCAAACAGATTTTCTCGCTGGTTTGAGCCGGTTTATAATTATCATGAAAATATCTGCCGTGCGTCAAATTAACATGTCCATCTGCTGGTCCACCATGTTTTGGACATCCATACCAAGCCTCAACACAACCCTCACCACGAATAGTTACATTGCCTTTTGTGATTAAAATAAGGAATGACTTGTTATAAAAATGAACATTTAGCAGTTTTGTTCGTTGTAATAAATTAAAGACATTTGTATTTGAAAGAACAATTCAAATGGGTTCTGTCCGGGTTGCGTTCTGTCAACGTTGCTTTTCCTTCTTGATCGTTGCTCTCTTTTTTCAATCTAACAATTTATACACGCAAATGGAAACGTAAATATAAAAATATGCATTTAAATCGACACGTTAATTCATCATCATTATAATTGTATAGAGTAAAGGGTTCTTTAAAATTTAAGAGTAAATGACTTGCATAGCTTTGTTCTTAAAGGTTCATTTTTGCATGTTTTGTAACATGACTAACAGTTTCATATACAATAAAGGTTTAAGAGGAGAACCCTTGAGATCAATGAGATCAAAATAATAAATGGAACATCATAAACTATGTTCTAATGGGTATGTAAATAACATGTTATGGTAGGTGCTCACACGCCTGACCAAAGGATTAAATAATAATTCGACCCTAAAAACAAATTGATATAAAGGGTATAGGCAATATTAAAGTTCTGTGTAATCGTAGCATCCATAGATACATATTTGTATTATAACTCTTTATGAGTGTATGGGCCGGTTTACCCCAATAAAGTTTTGTCATTTGTGATGAAGTACGGAACAGCTTTTTATTTAACAGGTGAAACTACATTTCACACTGGCAGTTTATACTTAACACAATGCACACATGATTTGGCCTAGCAAACCGTCTTTACATCAAAATGATTATGAAAGTAGTAAACGTTTGAAAAACTTCACAATGATTTTTTCTTAAATAAGAATACTTACAAAATATTAAATGATTAAAAAATAATTGTAGTGCAACTCAAACATATTATATGGAAAAATGTCATTCAGTGATTCAAAGTGTAAGGATAACGAAAATGTGCACTTTTGGATTGCTTTAAGGCAAAATAATGGGATTAAGTGACTAACATCTAACATACCAGTAGGTCCATAAATAGCCACAACTGGGTCACGCCTGTGTGATCCACAAAACTGCCATTGCTCTAAAGCTCGCTGGAAGCACATGGATTCATTGGCGGAAGCATGGCGGTATCTCTCCCCATACATATCTCTGTATGTTCCAATCGCGGCAGTATGATTCTGACATTTTGTTACGTTCAACCAACAACCTTATTATTATTACATGTATTATTATTGATAGTTTACATTGATTATTGATAACACAATTTGAAAACAAGTGTTTGCATAAACATTGCAAACACTACTTAGAAAATGTATATTCTTTATAAATAAACTTTTACAATGATTAACATGGTAGCAATCATTTTTAGGACACTTTCTTCATGCTTTCCTATTTGGCATAAACTTCTACCGATGCTTTCTTGGTGTCAGGTCTACTTTCTTTGCAATTTGCTTTTGATAAATCAGTTTTGATTTTCATATAAGTTATAGTAAAATTATAGTAAAACTAATGCAGAAAAAGATTCTTTGTGAAAAAGCCCGTACATTAGCTAACCCTGATTTTCATGTACATGTAAATTCTAAGTAGATTTAATATCATCTATATTCTTATTGGTACATAAGTATACAAAATGTAATCAATGTTTTTAATTACCAATTTTCTCTACCGGAAATATCTGGTTACTATATAAACCATATGGAATGAAGGGAGCTACTGGAACGTTTGGTGATGGTAGCGTAGGACATGGAATTTGACCATAGGTCGTATTCACCAGATATTTGAGGCCTTTTGGTGAAAAATATTGTATAATGTGAAATTATAACCAAATCACATTTTTTTAAATAAATACTAAAATATTTTATTATAGAGAAATGATAAATGACTGATATATGTCACATCTAAAGCACAGTTTTACTTTATCTAAAAATAAAGATTGGATCACTAAAATGTATTTTAAAGCTACAAAATCAAAGCTTTTTACTGTAGATAAGGTCGAGTTGTTAGTTGTTCCCTTTAACATTCAGCTAGATTAACTGAAACAAATAATTAAGTTTTAGGCCTTTAAATGCTAACAGACTTACAAAATGTCATATAACTAGTATATACGCCGGGTCATCGTGTAGCAATTAAAATAACAAATATTCCATTATGTATTGTACATAAGCTATAAAATTATGGAGTTACCATTCAAAAACAAAGTGGATGACACACGCGTCGTATTTCCTTGATACGCGTTTAAAAGCACTTACCTCTGTGTAGGTAAGACGGACCAATCGGAGATAGAGATGGTCCAACTAAATTTGGTGAAACAACTTGATGAAATTTTACTCTAGTTGCCCATTCCCATAATTTACATGCAATTCTGAAATCACCATTTTCTGGCTTAAAATGGTCACCACTCCCTGACGACTGCAATATTTGAATTCCAAATGTATTTACATAATTTCAGGTATATAGTGAGGATCGCAGAAGTTTTAAGACAATTTATAGACAAACAGATTTTGTTAAAAAGTTATTTAAATAATTTTAGTATTATTAACTCTCTTGGTTCATTAAAATTTAGTCTTATGGTACAAGTAACGTATAAAATGTACACATCTTAATACAGTAAGTGAATGCAGAGTTTAAAGGCAAGGGTTATCATCGGTCTTTATAAATACAATTTAACTTTTTTATAAGATAAAAGAACGAATTTTGAGTAATTCTATATAAAAAGGGAGAACAATTGTGAACCAATTTTTATCAGAATAAGCTCATATATTACTTACAAAACCTATTTCTGTAAAATTGAAATACGCTGACTGGTTGTCTTTTAAAAATCCTGGTATTCCACCGATGTAACCAGTCTTTGGGCTTGCATATATAACATTCTTAGTTATTTGATTTCCTAGGCAATAGAATATAAAACAATCAATGTAATGTGCTTTAAAAATAGTAAAAGTGGTATTTATGTAAATAAAAGAAAACGTACAATATTGTAACAATTTTATTCCTCTTTCATAGACACTTGAATTTTAAAGAAACATCAGAGCTTAAGTTAAGGTGATATATATATATGGCACGTATGCAAATATTACATTAATATTAGCTTCAATATTAATTAAAAATAATTTAACAAACGTTTAACAAACTTGTAGTAGAATAAAATAAATTTGGGTCTTATTTAAAATTGCTTCTGTTTTCAAAATTCCTTGTGCAAATTATGCTTCTTCATGCATTTGCTTATAAAATACTTTAAGATAAACTATACTCATCCTTGAGTAAAAAATTTCTTGTCATAGAAATGTATTGAAAACTGAATATATCTCATATGACTAAAGGAATAAATAAACTATGTATGGGAAGCCGCGTTCCCTATTGCATGTCAAGTAAGGTTAGCATTTTCTGAAAAAACTGCATACAATATATTCATTAAGAGACCAGCTACAGTGTGTAGGATTTTAAACATAACTTATCTTCTTTATGTGTGAAGTTAAAACATGATTATTTTATATTTACAAATATATAAAGTAGCAATTATCAATATTATCTAATATCAAATTTGAGCATATTATATCTTCAAGCTATAACTTGGGCATATCTTATGATAATTCAGATCCATCATTATTGATGACTTTAAGACTAAGCAGCCTCCTCCCCCTCTAGTTGAAATGATATTGTTTTATAAAAAAGGATCAAATATCTGATTATAAGACATGTTCATTTTTTAACTATTACAGTATGAATCATTTTATGTACTAAATTTGATAATCAATATAACCTTCTGGCAAACTTGCATTTTCTTGATCAATGTGGGCTAAATGTGGATATCTTAGACTCCAGGCAGCATCATGATATGGCACTGACTGAAAAATATATTGTTACAGAAACTGTTTCCAAATTATCAGAAAGATTTCTTCAATATCATTAACAAAGGAAAACAAATATCATACTAATTGAAAAAGAATTGATCCATTCATCTTTTTCTTACCGATCAATATTCAAGTATCAATTATGTGCTAAGATTTGTTTCAAAATAGGTGGAGGACTTCTGTTACACTCTTCCATATTTGCGTGGACCATTTGTCATTGGTAAATAATCATAAATGGATAAAATAATTTCCTATTTTTTTATGTCTAAAGCCGGTATTACACCAGTTACTATTTTTATGTGTTTAGAAGGTTATTAAGGATTTGTAGTTTTGCTTATTCTTGTGGTCTTTTATTTTGCTCCATTTCGAAAATGGTGCGTTTTTGCAGTCTATTATTAAAGAATACTAGAATTTATTTACATGGTATCATTATATGGAGAGTTATCACAAAGCCGTGCCGATTTTGCGACTAAGTAAAAATGGTATTGCACGGTCGTCAATATATTTTGACATGGCGTCATTTACGTTATATAAACATAGTGTAAAGACTAAATGTTAGCGTTAAACTATAAGCGAGTCAATGGAGAATGATTCTTTTGCACTTTTAACAGTCTTTATTTTTGGTATGTGATAAATATAATATTATCTTCGTGTAGGTTCAAACAATATTTTGCTCGCCAGAGGCTCGAATAATATAATTTATTTAACTCGTTGAATAATTTTAGTATTGAACCTACACTAACTAAATACCCTCTACATATTATATTTGTAAAAGTAGCCTTCATTGCCTCGAGACCACTTTTCATAAAAGTAAAACATTTGTGCGATGAAACATTGCTTATTAATACAATAATACAATTTTCACGGAATATCAAGCTGGAATTCCATGCTTAAAGTGAAGGAAAGTAAAGGAATATCGTGGAAGACTTGCTTTACAGATGAAGTTTAATCTATTTACGGGGGGGGGGGGGGTTGAATCATCTCATGGTTATCGAACCAGAACGCGTCAAGGCAGCGCTAGGTTAAAGCAGAATCTAAAATGTTTAACCTTACATAAAAGAATTTTTTTTTGAACAAGTTCATCTTACATGTAAATGCTGATACAAGCCATTGTCACCCCGATGACTTGTACCACGAGCGTCTACTGCTATACTGGATCTTGTAGCATTATACATTACGTTGTTTGTGATGAAATTGTAACGACCGCCTCCAATTTGCACGTGGATATCGTTCTAAAGTTTAAATTCAAAAATTAAATTTCTCCTAATAAAAACAAAACAAAACGAAACAAAAACAAATAACTATCATTCTTCTGCAGTTAATCTGAAAAAAATATCAATGTTGATAGATGTCCAAACTCATTAAAACATATCCTAAGTGGCACTCCACTACATTTTGTTTGGTAAGAGTAAAGGAACGACAACGATCATCTATTTTGAATGATATTGATACATGTCTCTCATTAATTTATGTCACTTTATCGTCTTACATGTTAACATTGGTCATAGACGATATCATATAATCATGTACTATTATATTGAAGATTGAAAAGGAAAAGGCCTTATGTTTCATTGTTGAAGTCTTGAATTTAAAGATTTAAAGACAACACACAAACAACCCTCTCCTCACTCCCCCCCCTTCAAAAAATGAATAAAAATAAACAAGTAAAAATAAATAACAAAAAGAAGGACCAACACCGCCCCCGCAACAAAAATTGCAAGCAATCCATAAGTCCCCTACCGGTTAGAACCCCAGCAACATTCTGGAGTGCCATTGGCCATTCACTAATGTTTCAATTTTTCTGTATTTTAAGTAAAGTTGGAAAAGTTCTTTGAAAGTGATCACAGGAAACAGTTTTTATGAACAGACAGACGGACTGAAGGACACTCTAAAGTTAATATTTGAAACATCCCTGTTAACAAAATATAACATTTTTAAAAGCAAAATACTTAAAGAGGAGATAACTCTTGAAATAAAGATGCAAATTCATAAAAATTTTAAGCTCTTTTTCACTTATCACAAATATTGTTATATTTGCCATGTTTTAAGCCTATTTGTTGCCATGGCAACCAATTTTTTCAAAAAAGGAAGAAAAGATAAGACATGCATAAACTGCCATTACCCATATGTCAAGTTTCATAAAAATACTTTTAGAACTTTTTGAGTTATCACTGAATTCAGTTTATGTGTAAAATTTGCAATATTTTCAGTCTATTTGTTGCCATAGCAACCAGAATTTTGAACATAGGAAGAAAAGAAAAAAGAAAAATACATGCATAATCTCAATACTGCCATCTATCCATATATTAAGTTTCATCAAAATATTTTCAGTACTTTTTGCGTTATCGCGGGATTCAGTTTTGTGGACGGACGGACGGACGGATAGGTGGACGGAGGGTTAACCTAAAGTCCCCTCCGGTGGGGGACTAAAAAGAAACAAACCAAAAAAAAACAACAAAATACTAACAATCAAACAAACAAATGAAAAAGCAAATGAAAAAATGAAAGCAACTGTCAGATTACAAAAAGAAGAGTTACTTACATCGTACATTACATTATCGAGTATTTGGGTACCAGACCCTTGACCATCTAAGTATATCGCTTTGTTTGAATTCCCGGGAACCAGCCGTAAAGAGTGATGAATAATGTTGTTACGAATGAAATTACCTCGCTTAAAATATTAAAATATATTTTATTTGACAGATCATATGGCCCAGCATAAACAGGACCAATAAATTATAAATTCATCAGATGTTGAATATATTACTAATCAAATTAATAATGCAGTGAAACATTTAACTAGAGTGCTTCTACAGATGTTAATGCACGAAAAAAAAAAGAAGATGCATTAACCCAATTCTTGCGAAAAAGAATTATTACAATAATTTCGCGCTTCGTTCTAAGAAACTACTTTTTGTACCATTCTTTATCATTGACAATTATTTTTGGTAGTAAAACTACCTGGGCCGTCATTGCATTAAGCTGTTTTTACATTGCTCCCTGAGACACGCTTAACTAAAATGTGAAACAACGGCACGTGGTCACAAGAATTTATTCGTAAATGCATGTTTTCTTTCCCGTAAATGCAAACTTTTGATGCATGAATACAGTTTCAAAATCATTATTTAAAAATCCTGTATGTTGTAATTAAGGTTGTAACCAAACTTAAGTGAAAATATATATATATGTATAAAATTATGCTTCTAAAACAATTTTCAAAAATCGAAGAATATGCCAAAATAAAGAATTATACTGCAAATATTTGTGCACATTATATGTAATTATGCATTCATTTCTTAATAAAAAAATTTGATAAATAAATTTCTAATAACTTCCCTTTATTAACATAAAATTTAAATTCGGTAATATCTTTACAAATAATGATTTTTGGACCTTAAATATTGATAAATCTTCATTTGAGCACATCATATTTATAATATAAAACAATTATAAATTGAGTTACAGGATCTTTAACAATAATTGCAAACACTCCAGTACTATGATTGGGTGATCTTTTATATAGACTACTCGTAATTTTCGTAATGTATTAAGTGGCAATCATTATACATATTTAGAAAGGTGTGTTTCAATATGGGCTTAAATACTGCCAAGGTAACTAAAACACAAATGGGAACTACCTAACAGAATTGCATTATGACTTGAAGGTTTTTAATTGTTTTTATTATAAATAAAAATAATCTAATAAAAAACAGATAATTATTATACGTACATACGTCCAGTCATAGCCCGTCCGAATGGCATTACAAGAAGATAATGTTGTACATACATGATGTACCAAATTGTACTCGAGGATATTGTCATTCCCCTGCAAAATTCTAATACTATTGTGAATCGTAACTATAAAAACAGGACTTATCTACTGTCAAGTAGTATTAACTTTGTCAAAATTGTTGTATGAATTATTTAAGAAAATAAATCAACAACAACAACCAAATCATCATCATCATCATCATTATAAGTATCATCATCAACACCACCAACAGCAACATCATCATCATCATCACAACCATTATCATTATCATCATTATTATCAACATCATCATCAACAACAACATAAAAACCTCCCTTATCACCACCACCACCTCAACAACAACAATAAACGTACTTTATTACTGAGTTCAATACGGAAAGGCATACACGCATCATTGGACAATTTCTTTTATTTCAAACAAAATGAAGAGGCTTATTATATATACAAAATTTATTACATTGTGCTACCTACATAAAAGCCGATAGCTCCTGCTTCACCATCGTGGATATGGTTGTGAGCGACGGTATGTCCTTCACCAGATACAGATATAGCATCATTCCCTGCTGCACCCACACGAGAAAATTGTTCAAACTCATTATGTTGAACAATATTTCCTGATGACTCAAGCTTGTTTCTATTTCCACCTAAAACAAAAGGAAGTTTTGATCACATTTTTATCAAATTAGTTATATACATATCATATCATTTTGATATCTTCTATTGTTTTTTTTCACATCAGATTGGTTTTATTGAATTTAAGCAAATTAAGAATGTCGTATGTAAGGGGAGGTCTATTTCGCAAATTTAAAAATATTACCAATGCACTTTCAGCATTTGCACCACGTGATGTTCCAATAGAAATCATAATTGGGTACAATCTTATCAATTTAACCTCGTTTTCATTTCTAAAGTCAAAAATACTATATCAATTCATGTCACACCCCATTTAGCCTCGTTTTTATTTCTAGCGTCCCAAAGGATGGTATCAAATCCAAATTACACCCCGTCTATGCTCGTTCCAATTTTTATGAGAGTTCAAAACCCATATCATATCTTTATTGTTATTAAAGTAACATAGTTCTGTCGAAATGTCAAAAATGGTGGTGGTTTGAAATAATTAGGTAGTTTAACATAAATGAAAACAAAACACAGCTGCAAAACCTGTATAGCGCCTCGTCAAATATATATTCGACATCTGCGTATTTGTTCAATTCAATTCAGCATTCAATTCAACAATGTATAATAATCTCATTATACTACAATTACATATAATCACAGTCAATGAATAAATTTCTTAAGAAGACCTGAGACAGAAATTCCTCCGCACGTGTCATGGATGTAGCACTGTGATATTTCACATTCTCTGCAATCTCCAACAAACCTTACAGCCATATGACCTAAAATATCAAATGATAAAAAGCAACAAAACAGCACTTTTATAATCAACGCACGAGACATACTTATTTCTGAGAGGCTAACGGTTGTGACTTATTTTTCAGTCAAATATTTCAGTGTGCACATCGTACATATAGTTCAGCATTTCAAATGTCAGGTATAAAACGATTCATAATGTTATAATTTGTTTTCAGCCTGTTCAAAAGCGCTAGGATGGTCACTTTTATTCGCAAGTTTCGTACATGAACAGGCTAGATAAAACCGAGCGTGTAACATATTAATGACAATCATTACAGTTACCATCTTAGTTCTTTTCTTTGAATAAATCTGTAGAAAAATCCACTGCAATGGTAAAAAGCAAGAGTAATATGTGTCATCAAATTATGGCGTAAATTCCTTGTTAAGAGGTAACAGTTGGGCCAGGTTTTCATTTAAGGTTTCAAAGTTGCTAAACACCCAGTCTAGTTAATGGCAAAAATAGACTAATAGCAAAAGTGATATCTTTGGTAACAGTTTTCTTTACAAATGCATGCCATATCAAACGCTTTATACTATACCATAATAAATTTTGGGAGAGAAATTTCATATAAAACGACACCTTGCTCTTCAACAAAAGTTTAGCTGGGATTTACATCCTTTATAACCTATACAATACAATATACATGCACATTTGTATAAAACTAAATTCTTTAAATGTCTGTTTTCTCAAGCCTATGTTTAATTATACGCATGAAGAGAAATTTAAATTTGTATGACAACTTATGAAACAAAAGTAACTCAGCAGCTAATTTGATTTAAAGTAACCGAAGTATCATTATGCATACATAATTGAACACATAATGTTTAAAGGGGTAGTTATCATTTCGTAAATTATATTCAATGCCAAACTGTCAAATGAATACCTGTATTTTTCACTTCCACTTCATTTAACCTTACGTTGTGTACACTGCGTGCAAATATCCCGGTCTTCCTACATGCCTCCAAGGTAAAGCCCGTTAACTCGACATCCTTTGCTCTAGTGTTAATTCTGCAATGTCATTCAATGAAATAAATATTGGCATATAAAATGACGAAACAAAGAACTTGTTCATTTTTGAACAAGAACCTGCAGCATTGTTAATTTTGCCGTTTTGGGGATTCTGCCACTGGTTCTTGTTGCTGGGACGTATGGGGGTTGCGTTCATTGAACGCCGCCTTTCCTCGTTGATCTTGTTTATCATATATTATATTCTGTGGGAATTCAGTTTTTCTCTATTTTATTTGATTTAAAAAAAAGGATATACAGCGGTTTATATTTCAGTTTGATCAAAAACAAAATATGGTAAAAAGAGGAAACGGTTTCTTTTATTTTAGCATTCGGATCCAGGACAGAGGGCACTGGATCCACTGTCTTTCATTATTTTATTGATTTAACTAAATTAATATTTTGTATCAACATTTGTTGATGGCAAAGCTTTGTTTTGTGTGTGAATACTATTGAGATGTCATCTTAATATTGATAAACAGCAATGGGTCTAGACGAATATGATTAGAACATAGTGTGAAAGTAATATATGATTGATAAAGTTTCTAAAACTTACAATATACAGTCTGAAATCATAGAAATATATATAACATCGGATTGTTTTACATTGCCATCTTGATTCGGTAACCACATATACAGATGTCCACTGTCTCTATCCATATAATACTCTCCCTTTCACAAGAAATGAAATATGCATATATCATGACCATAAATATAAATGAAATGAAACACTTTTAAGAGAGCTTTGTATTAATCCAATAGCATTGATTTAATTTTCTATTATTACATGTATACATTCTTAATAATATTTCAATAAATATCTATTTTCCATAAAATACTTAAGTGTTGTTATATTTGTTCTGGTTCTTCGAGATTTTTGATTCCAGCACGTTTAAATGTTGAAAATTGCGTACCGCTCAAGCCGGTGCTAGGGGGCACAATGGAAGTTGACCTTTTCAATTATAACTAATGTACAGACTTAATCAAACCGAATCTGCAATTTCAATGTAATTTTGCTGATCTTAATGCTTCCGAAAGATCACTTTTTCCAGATATTTTAATTTTCATGAAAACATTAAAGTAAAACGTATACTTGTCACCCCAACCACTCACAAACACCCATTTAAAATTCAATACTCTCTTGAATGCAAATATCCGACAAATAACGTATAAACCATATTCATCGAGAAAATATGGTCCATAAGAAAAGAGTTTGGATACATTTAAATTATTTTCACTCACTGGCTCATCTAGCTCTGACAATATATTCCAAAAGCGAAAGTAGCCCCCATCGTGAGCAGCCTTACCTTGTTGGAAAGCGTCCCAGTTACCTGCATATTGAAAATGATATGCTTGAACATTGTTATTGAAATGCCTGATAATTAAGGATTTTTGTTGTCGGAGCTGTGGGTTCAAATCCCCCAAGTGACCTTCAATTCTTCCATGTTGAAAACTGCTTCCAGAATGTATGTGGTTCTACTCGGTTACCCGTCAGTATATTCTGCATTAAGCGGTACCCGGGTCTTCCGTTACTTGAATAGCTTTAACGTTGCACCACAAGACCATGACAGTGTCGGTTATGTTATTAATTGGGAAAAAATTTTATCGATATAAATTTATTTTATAGATATTTTTTATCTTTATTTTTTATTATTTATATGATTGGAAATACCATTTTGTAAAGACATAACTCGAGGGTATTCTAACTAATCTAATTAACATTTCCAAAATATTCATAAATTCTCATTGTCGTTGAGATGGTTTTTTTTCACTATGGCATTTTAAGTGAAAGCTTTGGAAAATGTCAAAAAGACAATTGATATGTCCTTCGGGTTTTATTTTGTTATTAAAAACAGATTCAGATAATGAATATTTTCTTGTTTTCGTTATTGTTTATAAACTGTATATGTGCATGATGTGAAATGTTATGTAACTGCACTAGATTTCAATCTTCATGTTCACAAAAAACTATAATATTCAGGACCAAAACGTTTTTGGATGTAACTCGAGAATTAGCAAGAAAACATAAAGGCATGGTAATACCTCTAGTGACATCTGCATATCTACCTAAAGATTATAAAATTACCTAACAGCCTGAAGCCATGAGGCGGTTTCTCTGCAAGGGTCACAGTCATTGATTTCGTGTCCAGAGAAGTCACTTTAATAGCACCATCAGACCATCCGGCATACCTGTGTATAACAACTTTAATTTGAAAAAAATAAAGCTTGGTAACGACCTTTTATCCATTTTACACAAATGAGCAGCCCCATCCAACACCCCAAAGTCCCAAAGTTTTTTATTTTGAAACCTCAGTAATTTGAAATGTGCTTTAGCTTAAGGGCATGCGACAAAAATATCAATTTTAAAACATAATATGAGAAGCGCTAACATACCAATACCCATATACCCATGGGTCACTTTCATTTTGCCAGGTTTGAGGGACTGTGGAATTGTAACGAAAGCGTAAGCCTTGCTTCCCGTCTGGAAATTCAACTGCGTCCAGATATCCCTGCAAGATAATATTGCGATAACTGCCTACTTTTGAAAATGATAAAAAGCGGGAAAATAGCAAGCATTAATATATCATAATACTTCTTGCACCTGTCCCATTTTTTTCGTTTTGTTTTCTTTAATTCTTCAAAAACGAAAACTATTTGTTATGAAACATTGACTATTCCTATAATAATTGATAAATTCTAATTAGATTTCAAGATTATCAGTATCGACATAAACCAAATTGCATGTACCTTATTGGGCCATCGAGTGACGTGTAGAGGTATTCCGTTAACAAACACCTCTAGTGTTGTTGACCTTTTGACATTTGAACCATATTTTTCAGTTCTTCCATAGTTTGTTATATTCAACTCATGCAAATTGACCACACGAATCTATTGAACAAAACATGAAAGATGTAATAAAAGAAATGTATTAATTTTTGAAATAAAAAGATTGTCGTCCATTTAAATCACTCTAAAATGCTAATAGAAACCTTCTTGATATGATTTATGATTATGAATGAATATATTCATAAAAAAGATTTAGATTCCACATCTGATAAACATTATATTTGAGAATGTGAACTTTTGCAACTTTTAGATAGATAAATATATTTCAATATTATTTAATAACATTGTGAAACATATCCAATGCATAATAAAAAAAACACAAAAAAAAAACAATTTAACTTGTTACAAAGAAATTAAACCACATCAAAGTCATCAAACCTGAGATATGAAAAAAGAACTTAATGTCTTATTTCCATTGTAGTCCAAAGATATACTGTTGGTTTTGAAAAAGAGAGGCATACGGTTTAAAGCAGCACGCCTCCAGATTCATGCTAATTTTCATAAAAAATTGAAAATGTATTTAACAGTATAATATTGTAAAGTTACCAAACGAATGCAATTTATACATTATCAATGGCACTTAGAACCCATGTAAATTGCAATAAAGAGGTCTAAATATGCAAAAATAGACCTTACTGCGTTAGTGACGCAGTAGAAATATAGTTATAAATACCGAAAAATCGGTCTTTAATCGCTAATAACATGTAAATTATTACTAGAATTTTTAATCTTTATACCTTTCCTAAAATCTTAGTACATTTTTCTTAGGTTTGATTAGATCGAAATATTTTGCTAAACCGGAGGCGTGCAGCTTAAAATTGAAGAAAAACAATAGTATAGATAATGCATTCAAATTAAATATTAATATCAAAAATTAAAGGTCGAACTCGTTTTTGTATTTATTTTAATTTCTTTATTTTACTACGACTGTTGACTGCCTTTTATAAAGATAAATATTGAAAGTAAATTTGATACAAGGACATCAAGTATATCTGCACTTTGAATGTCATTAAAGTGCATTATTAAGCTTTATCTCACAGAATAGTGTACATGTATGAACAAATTAAAAGTAGTAAAATCATGATGATATCATAACCTTATGGTCGTTTCATGAAAGATTTGTAACATAGATTTTTTATGTCATTTAATGTACATGTATTTTGCATGTAAACAAAATAAAATGCATTGGAAAAAAATTTCTGCTGCTATTTTAGTAGGTTGGGCGATGATTTCATGCATGCTTTATCAGTTCCAATCAGATATACTCACAAACTTGTTTTTATTAAAAAATCATTTTAATCATAGTACCACCAATGATTTTACAATTCACTGACAGCAAAAACATATCTTTATTCACTTTAACGTTGATTTTATTTTGCTTCAATTCTTTACGAAGAACATGATTAATATCTCAACAACAATCTGAGATTTTACTTACATGTTGTCGTGCATTTGTTGGTAGACGAGCCAAAACAGCTTTGTCCGTAACACGCTTTATATTTGCAACAGGAATTCGTCGACCGCCAGTCTTCAAAGACCAGTAAAATATGCTAGTAATTCATATGCTAGTATATTATTCAAGCTTTTGCGAATAGAGAGTGTCTGACCAAATAAATAATTAACTATCTAGGATGGGAATCAGTAAAGTTATAATGACATTAATACCAATTTATATGTGAAATACCATTCTGGTAGAAACAAGGGCTAGTATGATATTAGCTTTAATACATTTTTAAACTGTCACAAATGATTCATTACTAGAGCCTGCAGCTGACGAGAATAAAAATCAAAACAGCGAAAAAAGAAATGAAAGAAAATTTTGCAAACCACGTGAACTTCTTGTTGGTTGTAAGCCCGAATCGTTGTTTTGCTGTCTAAATGTAGAGTCCTTGGAAGGTCATGATAGCCTGCCATTAACTCTATGTAGAGCGCTAAATATTAGAGAAAGAATGACAATACACCAGGAATGAATGTTAACTAAGAAATTATCACCTTGTGACATGCCAACGCGAATGAATGTTAACTAACAGAAATAGAGAGGAATGTAAACTAACAGAAATAGAGAGACATAGAGACTCACTTAATCAACCAAACTTCTGATCTCCTATACAAGATTTGTTTAATAAAAGAAACTGAATGCAAAGAAGGAAAGATATTTCTTCTAATGGTAACAATTTGTATCTTATTGTTTTCAGACAGTTAAAAACAACAACAAATGATCGATTATAAGAGTGTTTGTTCATCTTGGTTTCACACCGATATGAATATATTTTGTTCATATCTTCATGTGCAGTCAACCTGCCAATGACTGACAACTAGTGTTTCAGCGTAATAAAAACAAAATTGCCCCAACTAAAAGGGGGACTAGTTAATACTAAAATTTCCATTCATTGTTACAGGCCGAAAAGATCATTTATATTTTGTTTGCTTTTTATAATGATAAGAAACAAAACAACATTTCAGAAATGCTGGTGACGAAAAACTCCAAAAGTTTTGCCTTCGGTGGTCCTTCTATTTTATGGAATAAAATGTAATAATGTTGACGTAAATATGTTAACACTTACTATCGTTGTTATGTTTCACATTTTTCACATTTCTTATGGCCTGCTCTATATTCTTTACCGGTGTTTTATCCGACAGACTGAATGTACAAAAATTAATGTTGGATAATATGTAACTGTTCAGTGGGAAATTTAACATCACTTAACAAGAGAAAGAGAAATTTTATGAAGGATGGGCTCTAGCTGATGAGATTATAATTAAGTGGATGCCTATAAAAAACGAAATGGAAACTATGTTATGGCGAAATAAAAACAACAAAGAAACCCAGAAAGATACAAAAACGTATGTGCCAAAAGAATCATGTTACAAAAGGACAATGTTAAATAACAACTATGTCGTTGTGGGACCGTTTAGTTTGAGAATGACGTGAAAGCTTTTCTGAAATAATTTAAAGAAAAAGGATTGCGAAGAAATAGGACCAAACCAAAGGCATTCCTTTTGGAACATCCGCAAAAAGTTTAATAAGAGAATTGTATATAATATATGTCATATGTGGATAACTGTCTTTAAAAATATTTGTGATCTAAAACGTCAATTGAAATAGCTATTAAAAACAATATTTGTTTAATTAGATACGATAATTACATGAACGTGACTTACCCATCATTGGTGTCCACACCAGTTGGGCTCACGTACATATGTAAATTTGTTGCAGATACATGGACGTAAAAGGTAATAGTTACGACTACAAATAGTGCAGTCTGTAACATCCTTTCCTGCAAACAGAGCGCACGAATACATGAGATAGTTCCAACAGAATTTGTACATCTGCATCTTTTTTGACAAATAAAGATGATTTGTGACCGACCGATGTTTTACACATTTATTTCTAAATGGTTCCTTTAAGAACAATATTGACAATTAACTATGAACTAGATCTATGATCGTAAGCTAAAACTCAGTATTTGATTGATACTGGCACAGAATGAACCCTGAAAATCATGAGGTTGTAGACAACTCAGACAAAAGTTTTGTTATCTCGAAGCTTGCAAATATTCAATTCACTTTCCTAGTTTTTCTTTCTTTTTGTTCTCTTGAGAACGTTTGAATACTTAACTAGACAGTTGTTAAAGATGTACTTAATTTTTGCCCGATAAGGAAAAAACTGCAGTATGCATGTGTCTTGCATTGATTGGACAAGTACCTGCGTTTCCGTTTATAACACATTTGTGAAAAATACAAATATATATAAAAAGATACATTCTTTTTCATAAATATACGGTATTATTCATCAATTTTTAATCAAATAACTTACTTTAATTCTGTCTGTGTGATCCGCCTATATGTGCATATGTAGACGTATGAAAGTTATTTTATCAATGTTTTATTAAATGTCCTGATAAGAAAGTTATTATTATAGAACAACGACGATTAAATACGACAATGGTGGGTCGTTTCGTGCATCGTAATTTCAAAGTGCGTTTGAGAAACCTATTTTTTACTATTAATAAATTCAAAGATAGAATTGTTCAAATAAAATATTATATATTTATTTCTGAGGCATAATGTGATTTTAAAAAATATCCGAGCAAATATTCTTAAAAGTTGCTACTTTATTCCTAACTACTATCTTATTATCTAAACATTTTATTTGTCTATGTTTTAGATGTTATTAATATATGAAAGTGATTAAAAAAGAAAATTTAATCAAAAATGGTTATAATTATGATTAGCTATCCCTTTTCCCATAATAAAATAGAGAAAATTGGGCGGATGCCCTAAACGAGAAAACAGTCTTGTGTTTTCAACATCATCGGTCTGTAATCTCAGTAATTAAGATTATAACTGCAAAAAAGGAAAGAAAATATACACCAGGAAATGCCCATCAAATATCTTTAACGCAAGCAAACACAATAATGATTTCTTGGTTATATTTATTTCGTTCAGTGATTAATTATTCACTGACTACCATTTATCTATAACTATCTGCACGATTCACGCCTGTGACATTCTAAATGTTATATGTTTTTTGCTGGTATTTTAGGGATAATTGACTCCGGCATAATTAGTGCTAGGGATTGGCACCGTTAGGAGGTGTTAGAAATGTTGCACTTTCATATAATTGTCATGATCAGAAACAATCTAACCGAGTCTGCAAGTTGTATATATATTTTTGTATTGCTTAAACGGGATTTTCCATTTTCTAATTTTTCACTTATTTTCTGTCATATTAGCTACGACCCACTTCAAAAGTGCGATGTATTGAAAACGGAGCAAAGACAGAGATTCTCTATTCCGAGATCGAACGGAAGGCCATTTTCAACTCTATTTATGTTTTTATGTTTTGTTTATGTTGATATGTTTTTGTCCGTGTTTTTTTGGGGATTTTTTTTTTCAAAATCGATCAATATAGTTCCGATTGGGAATTTTGTAGGCTTAAGTGATAGAGAGTGGTATCGCTATGGAGTTGTGAGAAATGTTGCACTTTCATTTCTCACTAAAATGTAATTATTTTAGTTCCATCCATTGTTTTTCTCGTTTTGGGGCACACGCTTTCTATTACTTGTGAACCATACGCCGTTTTTCATGGAATGGCACGGAAGTGTCACATTGAAGGTTCCATGACAAACGCCGTATGAACACATCTGCGGATGTTTCAAAAGTTTGCCATTTCCTGTTTAAATGTTGAATTCTGCTTAAGCCTGTGATAGGAGGCACGGACTGTAGTTTGCACTTGACAGTACCGTCCATTAACAGGGTCAATCAAACCGAGCCTGCAACATTTCAAATTTTCCGTTTTGAACTTTCTTTCGTTTTTTTTTTCATTTTCTCTATTCCAATGATTTAAGCCGTTGTGAAAAGAAAATTATATTAAACCTGGGTGAACAGTTTCTCCATCGAAGAGAAATGACGTGTTGTTGAATAAAATTCATCCGCACTGTGAAAATGCTCTCAAGATTTTCTTGAAAAGGTGAATTAGAACAATATCTACTTGTAACAAAAACTTGTCTTTCGTGCGAAATAAACTTCTCCTGGTGGTTTCATGAAATTTGTACATCCTTTCTTTTTCGAAAGAAGTGCAGCGAAAGGACAAGAAGTGGAGAGGAAAGTTCAATGTTTTACGCGAGGCAATATTTAGTTTGCGTTTTCCAACAGCAAAGTCCACGAATTCGTATGAATAAAACCTTAATAAGTTCAAGTTGACATACTAAAATGTGAAGACCGAGAACTATTATTTTGAACAAGTTCATGATGTTGTCAGCCAAGTTGTTTCTTGTTGCGAGTTTGTTGAGTAATACGTTACAAAACTGTGTCAGTAGGCCTTGTCAAATTGGCAAAGATCCATTTTTGTATCAAACACATTGGTGTCAAATAAAATTTCGTACGTCTCGTTATTTGAGCTGCGCCGCTGTGGTCTTTCCATGTATGTTTTAATTAAGGATGTAACATACAGTTTAGTGAGTATTATATATGTATATAATTATTCTTCCAAAACACTTTCCGAACATTTAAGACTATGTAAACTATGTACAGCAAATGTTTATATACGTTATAATTAAATGTTAAAATGACTGCATTTATCTTTTATTGAAAAAGCTGGCAAGGACTTTATCGAAAATAAATTTCTAATTACCTCCCTTTATTTACATGAAATGTTAAATTCGGTAATATCTTTATATATAACGCTTTACAAATAACGCTTTTCAATATTCAAAAATAGTCATTTGAGCACCAGATTTATGAGATAAAACTATAGAAAAATGCGTTACATGATCTTTAAGACGACTTGAGAGGGTACTGAATGCAATCAAATTAAGTTAAATAAATGAAACATCAAACACTACGCAAGTATAAATTTAATGAGGAAAAAACAACATGACAGCTATCAGAATTATAAACAAAACCTCAATAATTATGGATCATCCCTCGTACAAATGTGTTACACTTTAGCATCCATGACTTTGAACAGTAAACACAACATAAAATATATAGTAACGATAAAAGATGTGATACAAAATGACAATATTTTAATGTAAATCAGTCATGATAACATGAAATACATACTGTAGTGTTTATTATGATATTTCTCAATAATTGCAAGTCAGAGAATACAAAAAACTGTAAATATGTCTTATTGAATAAATATTATTATATTTTGATGTAATTCTTTCAGATGTGTAGTACATTATTATTATAGTAGAATCAAATGTACTTGATGAATAACTACTTTTAACACATACCGTCTCTCCAAAATATCAATATTTCTATACATGTATACGATTATATCATGTTGGGTATTTTAATCTAGAGGTTCAAACTTGTTTAATGATTTTCTACTTCAAACGTATCACATTTCCCAAAATTAATATATAGATGATTTTATTTATAATGCATATTTTCATATCCATCATTTTTCAACAAGTAAAATGTCAATAATAGTTTGCTTACAAAAAGCGTAGAACACGCAGAGATCATGTGAAGAACATGCAGGGAGAACAACTTTTTTTCTATTTGTAATATGACCAAAATACTTTTTATTATTCCAATGCTCTTTCTTGTCAAAATGAAATTGAATCATGCTATCAAGCCATCTGATAATGCCAAACTAAGAATAAGTATCAGCTGGGTCTTCAATCGTCCTCTTAATGACAAAATATTAAACATTGTGGAGGCATTCAATAATATACCATCGATGTACTATTTTGGTCCATTTATAAAGCTACAATCAAAATAATCAAAGAATTATTGACTAAATTTTCGAATACGATGTTTTTTATGTTTTTTGCTTATTCATACCGTGCGTGTTTGTGTTTGTTCCGGATACAAACACAGACAAACAAGATACTGCGGCATTAGCAAGTTCAAATCACACTCTTTACACGAATTTGTGTTTCCATTTTTATATGTTGCTTATGTTTATATATTGTAATTACTAGCTATTTATAATATGATATAGATATTTTCGGCTTCGAAATATCGCAGGTTATAAACTGCACGTTACCGTTCTATGATATTGCATGAAATATAAATATCTTAACTTAATGGGATCGACATTTAAAATGCATTAGTTCGTACAGTCTTTTATATCTTAATCTAATTTCTGGGATTCTTGCTGCATAAATAATTGGATCTAATGCAGTGTTAAGTGTATATAAACAGCTAAAAATGTCAATAATAGTTAAAATGTCTCTATCTTCTACTGCTACAAGACTAAATGCAAAAAGCGAAATGTTTGGAGTCTAAATTTATGAATTTACGCCGATCATTTTTATAAAGATATGTATTGTTTCTGTTATGGCTGTATAAATTCACCTTTGCTATCTAAATTAGAGAGTAGTACAAAATGAGTTTAAGTCAAAGTAGTTAAAAATGATCAAAATGGTATAGTATTTGAATATCATTGAATCAATTGTGTACTTTTGATGAGCTTTGTTTCGCCTCGCCAAAACGTTTTGGCATGCTTGCACAAGTTTAATGATTGTGGATTCAAGGAACATTGTTTCAATTCTCTACAACGGTTTAAATGATTACAAAAAAGAATCATAATTGTAACAGTGAAAATTCAAAATGATAAAAGAAACCATTATTCCATCTCGCAAAAGCGTTTTGAATATCGTGCTATTCTATGAAAAGTCCTAAAGGAAAAGAACTATTGCGAGCTTAACGAAAACCAATGCGCGAAACTAAATTAAATGAATTTTGAAATGGCATCAGAGTATATGAATACTGCATATCACAGATAATGCGACAAAAAAGCAAGCATTATATCCCACTTTAAAACACTACATTTTGTAACAAGAGAATTATAAAGAGCAATATAATGTATTTGGATTATCATAAAAAACATAACGTACCATTGTTATATTCAGTAATTGCTTTAACATTTCTTTTATCTTGTATGTACATCCGGTAATGGCCAAGCTACATTTGTACTCTGCTAATTAAAAGTATAAAAACACCTAGAAAATTACAAATGATTAATGCGGATAAACCATGTAATTTGTTAATTGATTGCGGGGCATTTATTATCATGTCATACATAAGCAGCAGCGTAATACATAAACAGTTTTGAGAAGCATAACTTTTTCAGAGAATTCAGTCATGTACTCAATTTTCTTTGGTGAATTCTGGTTAAGCTCGACTAATTGGCTTGACCGATGGGTTGACTTTGTTACTGCCCTCTTTGAAAAAGCTAAGTCAATCTAAGTGTGCACTCCTACTTTTATTTTTTGTGCGTTTGGCGACATTTAGAGATTGCATCAATTTACTAATATGTAAATGTAATGTTATGAATGTTATTTGTACAGTGCTCTATAAAGGACATTTATATCAATTGTTATAATTATCCTTTGAATTTTGTTTGTGTTTCAAATGTCATTTCTATTATGTACTATTACGACATTTATAAATAATTAAAAAAATAATGACATTTCCATATTTCTGTGTTCA